ATTGATAACTTAATAATAAATCAATAATAACTAAATGGTAAATTAGTGATAACTTAATAGTAAATCAATTTCAGTTTAGTAGTAATTAATCGATAATCTTAGTAGTAAATTATAAATAATTTACAGTAAATCAATGATAATTTAGTAGTTAATTATTGAAACATAAGAGTAAATCAATATAATTTAGTACCAGTTAATTATTAATAATTTAATAGTTAAATAACTTAATAGTAAATTATAGATAATTTAATATAAATTAGTGATAACTTGATAATGAATCATGTTTAAGTTAATAATAGATCTGTGATAATTTAACATAATAATAAATGCATAATAACATAATAGTAAATCATTTATATTTTATATGTAAATTATTGATAATAATTTAGTAGTAAATAAGTTAATCATTGATAGCTTTATAGTAAATTATCGATAAATTAATAATAAATTAGTTATAACTTTATAACAAATCATTAATAAATGAATAGTAAATCATTAATAATTTAATAGTAAATCACTTATAACTTAGTAATAAATCATTCATAAACTAATAGTAAATTAATGCTAATATAGTAGTAAATCATTGATAATTTAATAATATATCATTGCTAGCTTAGAAATAAATCACTGATAATATAATAATAAATCAATGATAACTTAATTGTCAATCATTGATAAATTTTTTTAGATTTAGAGTTGTTAGGAATTGAACCTTGATTAGTAACAGGAACAAAGTTAAAAATTTTATCTTGAAAGACTTGGATGAACCTACCACTAACCTATTTAATAAAATAATTTAGTGAAAAAAGTTTTAAATTTGAATAAAACAATAAATTATTATATAAAAAAATTATTTTATATTAAAATTAAATATGTGCTTTCTTACTGGAATCTATTGTTAAATATACAATGACTCAAATTTTATCAATGATTACTAAAAGCATATCATAACTTGTTAGAAGATTAATTATTAAAATTACATTAAGAGATTATCAAAATTGAATCAAAAGTTATTAAAATCAAAATTATATAAAAAATCAAAATTAACTTGCTTATATCAAAATCAAAATCAAAATTAAATTATTATTATTATTTTTATTTTATTTTATTATTATCATAATATCAAAAAGATTATTTATTAAAATGAATTTTTAAAGATAAAAATTACATGTGCATTATGCAAATGTCAAAAACTAGTATATATATATATATAATTACCAAATTTCAGTGACCTATGAAAAAGGCAATAACTTTGTCAAGAAAGTAAAGCTTGAAGAAGCTATATTAACTTCCAACTTAGCCCAATTCGAGCAAAAATATCATTGATGAAAACCTCCCTTAACCCCATTTTTAGAACATAATCAAACCAAGCAAAGACAATCTCAGCTCCCAGATGCTCAAAGTGGCTTTTAATCCAAACTGAGATGAGATGTTAAAACGTTGCATCAGGAAAATAGTACGAAAAAATCAAATAAAATATGCATATTTTGTCACAATTCGGAAAAGGCTTATGGCATAAGTGATGAATATTTGGCGTAAGGTTGACTGTTAAAATGAGCCCCATCAATAAATATGGCAGATATACAGTTCCCACAATTATTTATTATTGTGAAACAAACAGGACATTGGCAAAAAGCAAACTTGGAAAAAACATGAAAATCAAATAAAAACAACAAACCAAATTTTGATGGGTAAAAATAGATTCACAAAAATGATAGACCAAATCAGTAAGTTATGTTGTATATAAGGGAAGCAAAGAAGAGGCAAAAGTATTTACTGGTGCTTAGCGGGCAAATGGCTGCAAATAAATAGGCATCGATTAATACTTGGTGGTGCTTGCCTCTCAGAAGCATCGAGATGGCAATGAAATGCGTCACTTTCGTATGTATATATATTTCATGTTTGATGTATCAGTCAACCATATGATCTCCTCTCAACAACAAAGCCTCCATTTTCTTTTTTATTGCCAATTCAAATAATTGTTGGATGCCTCTGCAACTTTGAAGTATATATAAATTTTCTTCTCCTGAGAAGTGAAAGCACTTCAGGTTGATCCCTGAGTCATTTAACTTTGGGTATGACGCGTTAGAGAGCAAGAGACAGACTACAAAAGTGTTAACTTTGCGGCAGTCATTGATGGTCAATTCTTTTCTATTGGAGAGGTTCACAGTCTTTTCAGAGACACTCCCGATGTCCCTTTGTTAAGCTGCAACTTTAATGTGAACAAGTTCAGACCGAGCGAAGTCGAAAGGGTGAACATCAGTTTGGCTTGTGTTTTTGCATTTATGGCAATTGGATGGCCATTGATCATCCATAAGACAGGACTCATGGGATGGTTTAAGTTTTTGCTAATGCCATGGTTAGGCTATCACTTTTGGGTAATGCTTCTTCCCGGTCTCTTACATTTTTATGAGTTTAAACATCTTTATCAGCCAAAAATCGTTCGATAAGCTTTGATACTCTGTCGTTGCTTTATGGTTAATTACATGATAAATGGCACATGCATTCAAATCCACAATTTATTTTTCCCATTTTACCCTCATTTTTCTTAATTTTTCTGTGAACTTCGGCATGACGATCTATGTGTATTAGTTCTGTCTTTCTCAAATAACTTCATATTTTTGCATGTTTTGTTAAGAGTTGATTCGTCATAGATTGCCAATCTCTGGCTTCTTGTGAGTGTGAGCGATTTGATGCAGATAAAACTTATCTACTTTTGTTTCTGAGAAATTTTATTTTCTTAAAATTTGACATGGTGCATCACACTGCTACTCATGTGCCCCTCAAATCTTCAGATGAATGGAAAGCAGCTCAAGCCAGCTGAATGGAATAGTGCATTGTGATTACCCTCGTTGGTAAATATATTACTTTTCCTGCTCTTCTATTGATCTTGTATTTGACTAGCCATCATGTGTTACGAAAACCAACTAAACTAGATGGTAGAGTTAGCTTTATCAGACATCATCTACATGGGGTACCTTTTCCCTGTCTTCTCACTCAACATCTGTTTATTTTCTCTGGTTGGATGTCCTTGACCTTGAAGGCTCCGAAAAAATGATGAATTTTATATGTTTGACAGGATTGATATTCTCTGACATGAAATCAATGTTCACATTCTCCATCATATTTCTTCAAGGATACCAAGCTATAATCTACGAGCAGCCCTTATGTCTATTCAGGAGAATTGAAGATCGCTGTGACAGACTTTCTCTCTTAGCCTAGTGATTAAGAGGTCAGTTAAAAGTTATATAAGGTGTGGGTTTTACCCCGCCATTTCCTCTCCCCTTGTAAGGTTAGTAGCCCTCATTTGCAACTAAAATGAAAAAAAAAAATCGCTATGACAAGCAATATATTTTGGTTTTACTTAGTTCATCAACCTGCATTTTTTCTTTTTTCTTTTTTTATAGAGAAAGAATTTAAAAAAGGAAAATATTCATGCAAAAAATCAAAGTGACTCTCTTAAAATGGTTTGTAGAAAAACATTATGGTCATGCTATGTACTAACTACCCCAGAAGATGCACATGAATATTCTCATTGCACGTTGATGTTGGTGACAGTATCTGAACGAGGCTACATGTTGATATTGGACAATAATGACAGTGTGCCATGTCTATAAGGAGCAAAATTACATTTCTTTTGACCAAGTTGCCCCTGAAGAATCTTTTTAACACCTTGGGGTCCCATTGCTTTTCTGCTCTTCCTTATCTGTTAGCCTCCACTTTTTTGGTCAAATTGGGTTGCGAGATTGCTATTTCAGTTTCACAAGCACTGACTCCAATGATGAAACATTCATTTTTTAACATTTCCTATTTAATAGAAGAAAGTGCTTCAGACCATTTAAAGGAAATTTCCTGGAAATTTCTGTTGATTTTGGCTGCTAATGTTAGATATTGAATATGGCGATTTGTTATGGTGAAAGATGGGTGCTCGATGGATGAACTTGACCCTGACAAACTGATTCCTATTACACTATCTAAACCTCACAGTAAATTGTTTTCTCATTTCTGGTCGCGTTGAACCAATTTTTCGGTACTCTGCTTAAAAAATACTGTAGCATAGAAAAACATCAACGTTTAGGGTGGCATTGGTTAGCACTGGCAGTCGTTATGGCTGACAATGATTTTCATCCAGAGCATCTGATAATATAAATATACGTTCCCGACATTTGAGCTCGAAGTGGCAACTAATTGCCAACTTAATCCTAGTTATCATATTTTATTCATTTATGTGAGAGAGAGAAGAGATCTGTATTCCTCTCTGTGGGGCTATTTGAATTGGAATCTATTCCCAATTTAAGAGATCAACATTCATCAATGGTGGAGATCCAGTTGAACTTGAATCAGTAATACAGGACTGAGCAAAAATGCAGTTGGGAATTATTTTTTTTAATTGGCACAAAAGAGGTCGTAAACTTGGGATAAAGTAAAGGGTAACAAGTGACTGTATAAATCAATTTAATTAAATTTGGGATTCGCAATCTGAAACTTTGAACAACCTGTGAATGAATCAGGTTCATGAATCATCAAGACTAGTAAATGCAGGAAACAAAGTTTGTTGTGGTGGGCGTTATCATCATTAGATTTGGTGTACCTGAAAAAAGCCCCTTGAGATTCAAAGTAGATTTAGGATTGAATCGAAGAGAAACTCATCTGAAACTAAAGTAGTTAGCCACTTACCTAACTTTAGGCAAAGCATCAATTCATAATTCTATCAAATGTTTATACCTGTAAGATAGTAAAGCAGCTGCAATTACTAACATGTAACGAGCATCTCATTTTTTTATTTTTTTTTCAGACACAAACATAAACGTTAGACCTGTGATATTCATAAAAAGAATTGCGAGGGAACTTTGACGAAGACTAGGTCAAAAGAGGAAAAGATACAGTGGTCTGTCTGAAAAGGGCGAGAAAATCTTAGTGAGCTTACCTTTGTCGGTTGAAAAAAGGAAAAGAAAATCTCAGTGAGCTTACCTTTGTCGGTTGAAAAAAGGAAAATTAACAACAATTTCATTTCTTTGAAACAGCAAGCAAGCTCTGTACAAAACACTGACTTTAAATATCACCCTGTAATCTTTGCCTAATCTATGATATTTGTTTTAATTGTAAGTTCATCCTCTACCTTTAACCACCTAAAAAAAGGAAATGACAACAGTGCTGCAGTAATCAAACCATGATCTGAATCATATAACCGGCAGTGGTGGAGTTTCCCATATATCAAACACATTTTCCTCACTGTGAAGTGCAAAGAGCCGATCACCACCTATGGAAAAATCACAAATTGAACCCCCATAACTTCTTCGAAGACTAGATGTTAACACCCAATCAGGACCACAGAACACAGAAATGCAATCATTCATTGATGAAAACAACTGCCCGTTATGCAATGCCAATTTCGGATAGCAAGGCTCATCTGGCATCTTCCCCTTCATTAACCTACTTCTGGAACTCCACTTCACACTTCCTTCACTGACCCTCAAATCTATGAACCCCAAATCCCCATACTCATTCACCACACAAACAGAATTACATTCCTCCATTGCAATAGCATCTCTCACTCTCTTCTCATCAACAGTTAAAGGGGCACCAATATCAGACCAAGACCAAACCATTCTCTTCTCTCTAAAATCAAGCAAACTGATATAACAGTTATCCTTTCTGGGAAACAATGTAGCAACTAATAAACATTTACTCCCATCCAACCATTGTAGTTTATCAGCATCACCAAGAGACCAGCCAGGACTCTCATAAAAGAAATCAATTTGTTTACCAGTAACTTGGTCCCAAACTCCAATCCCATACTCGTTGCTCCTCCCTTTACAACTAGCAAAAATCTTATAATCAGGACTAAAACTCAAAGCCCCAGCAGTGTAGCTCTTTACTTGATTACCATGAACAACATTAAACTTGTATCTCAAATCTCCAGTAGATGAACTGAACAACCCCATCCCACCATCTCCTCTCCCTAACCTTTCACAAGCGCTTATCAAAACATGCTCATTGTTGGCCCAACCAATATCGTTAACTATCTGGTAATCAAGATTGATTGGCGGGTGTTCTTCTAACATCCAATCAAAAACATGAACCATGCTACCATGAGCTACACAGCAGCCGCCATCAGGACCAGCTCGGATGGCGGTTCCATCGCCTGGGGCTCGCCCTGTTACTGACTTAGATAGCTTTAACCTGTTACCATCAAATGGACCCCACTTAGCCGAACGAACATGGTCAATTAAGCCATAAAACATGGCTTCTTTGTAAAGAAGCCTTTCGGGGACATTGGAAGGAACGTAGAGATCGCCTGAGCGGAGAAGATCAAGGAGGACAGCGAAACAGTCGGGGTTTCGATCGATGAAGAATTCTGGGCGATTGTTTGGTTGTTGTAACAAGCTCCAATTGTCGTCAAATAATGCACCGAAAAAGGAATCCCTGCCTGCGTTTGCAAGTGTTGTAGCTGTCGTTTGAAAGATTCTGCCTCCTACGTTGAATTTGACTACGTCTTTTTGGATTCCCATGATCTGATTTTTTGTCAAAATTTGAAGAATCCTAGATAGAGAAACCAAGAATCCAGCGTTTGAAAGAACACAAGGCAGAGGATTTCAGCGAAGGGGAAAATGAGATAAATTTCCTCAAATTTTGGAGAATTTAGAGAAAGAAAATTTAAGAACAAATGAGTAACCAAAAATAGGAGTGACTAACCATGAAGCATTACGAATAAAGACGAAGGAAAGCTCGATTTTAACAGTGATTATAAGAGGAGGTGCTCTTGTAGAATAAAAACAGGGGAAATGAATTAAATGAGGTGAACTTAATCAAACTGAGGAAAATTGAGATCTGGGTATTGGAAAGAGAAGGTTTTAAAGCTGGGTTTTGAATTCCGTGGAATTTGGTGAAGTAGAATTGAAGAATTGGAGCGTCTGAATTTCAAATATTGACCTTTTTTTTAGTCTTTCTCTTCTCTCACATTGCTTTCTCCATGTTTTTCTCTCTCTTCTCCCACGTCTGTCCTTTGGTCCGGACAATGGCTGAGTTTTATGCAGATCAAGCAGTCTCTCTAATGGGGTCCAGTCTTTTGCTTTGCTTCATCTTCATGTTTCCACCGTTGATGGTTCATAACATCAAAATCAGATGGGATTTCAATAATCGAACGGTGGATATATCATGAATTCATGATTAATCTTCTGCATAGTTAATTCAGTTTGGGGTCTTTGTCAATGAAGCCTTTAGCCTAAAGAGACCATGTCTTGTGGGGTATCTTACTCTCTTTTTCCAATTTTTTTTCTTAATTTCTTTCTTTTTCTATTATTATCAATCATTGTCTAATTTTGAGCCTCGTATATGAATAACAATAGAATCGACAACCTCAAATCTACCATTATTCTTAAGCCTCTTGTTGCTAAGCATTTGTTATCATCAATTCAATAAAGATAAGCTTTGCTTCTGAGATAAGTTTTCGAATCATTTAAAATAAAAAAATTTGAAATAAAGAATAAATTTGTGATTAAGTCACCATTTTTATACATGAAAATTACACTTAATTGTATATCTCCCAATTATATTTGACTTTTACCTTGTTTATACTTCACTGTTTTGTTTCACTCTTATTGTTCCCTGCTTTTTCTTGACCCAAGCATTCTGCTTTGTCTGTGATTGCTTTATTTGCAGGTCATGGACGGCACACATCATGACAAATAGACTTTGCTGCAATTACTGGAAATCAACTAGGTGGCAGTCCATAATCTACTGTAATTCTGTGTTCATATTCATGCTTTCAAGGCACTCTCTTGTGAAAGTTGAAAGCATTCTATTAAAGCTCCATTTATGTATGTTTGATGAACTCGGTGGGCCAAGTTCATATTAGGCTAATGATGTTCTTGTTTGTTTCTGTGTTTGGTTCCAATGGGGAAATGACACCACAACACTAGAAAAAAGGAAATGCGTAGGAAGATTTCTATAATGATGGCATGGACATCTTTCAAGTTTGTGTAAAAAGATAATCAAGTTTGCTTCACCTTCATTAATATTATATGATATAATGATCATTATTACAGTAGAAGCTATCTTGAAGTCAAAGAGACTTTGGATAATTATTTTGTTTTTTGTCTCTTGTTCTGCTTCATTTGTTCTTTATTTCCACTTTCCGCTCTGTCTGATATCTGTATGACTGTGTCTGGTCCTTGTTTTTGGTGGTATTGTGAAAATACAGAAAGGCCAAATCTTTGTGCCAGTTTCCCCCTCTGAAACTTCCCACATTGTCCTCTTCGTTCCAGTTTAACATTCTAGCAGTCTTCCCAATGGACTCAGAAAATTTCGCATCCTGAGGTACAACACAAGGCCAAAGATTAAAGTTAACCAGGATAAGTTGGTAATACATTTTTATGATTTTAGGTTCAAAGTTTAATGATGCTTTTTTTTTGTTGAAATCATTTTAAATGCGTAATTTATAATTATTATTTTTTAAATTATATTTTGATTTGGACATTGAATAATTTATTTATTTTTAAATTAAAAAAATTAAAATTAAAAATACTTGAATATCATGAATTATATGATGCCATAACGTCACATCACGTATAAGATGGGGAGAAGGTGGTGGTTAGCCCACAGTGATCAAGGCTAACCTAAATTTTTCGATATGAGAAGTTTGTCCAATACAAGACGTGGGGCCTCATTTAATTGAGATGTACAAATATCACTTTTGATGAATCCATCACTGATGGCTAGCGGGATAAAGAGAATACAGATTTTTATTTTTTTATTAATAAATAGGACACACCATTAATTTAAAGTTGATTAATTTGAGTTAACGTTGAACCTCGTATAAATCACAACACATACTCAAATTTTTTAATGTTAAGAAGCTTAGAATTTAAATTTTATGATTAGAAATAACAGTCTAGGGCCCAATTGGGTACGAGGAAAAGCACATGCAAAAGTCAGTAGCCCTAAATACGCTTAAAATATTGAAACGTCACGAATCCAAGGTCTTGCTTAAAATTTTCACCATAAATGATGGGATAGCTAATATGGAATTGACTTGCCAAACATTCCGTGACCAAACATACACCTAAATATGTCTCGTCTCTATTTCTCCAAACATCTGTTCTTCGGTTTAGCCCAAGTCTACAAAACCGAACAGGTTCAAGCCCATTGGAATCGATTGGGCCAAAGGTAAAGGGTCAATTTGTTTGGTCTAGGCTAGAGCCCAATACAAAATCCTCCGAATTTTGATGCTCTTGAGCCCGATAAACATGTCTACTTTTGTACAGTTTGGTCAAATCTTAAATTCTGTGCTGATGTAATGAAATGTGCGAAAGACGTGGAAATCTGTCAAGTCGGCCCATGGGTGGCACTCGTAACGGTGGCGGCGGTGCACCGCTTTGACCTACGCCGCGCTTTTTTTTTTTTTTTTCTAAAAGTGGATAATACGGTATAACTGTATACGGATATAGTTTTCTTCCATTTTGTTTCAAAAAATGAAAAATTATAAAAACACGTAGCAATTTATTTGTGACAAAAACACATGTAGATGAATGTTACAAATTGCATTAACCCGTAAATGAACTAATTTTTTTTTACTAAAATGTAAATCTAAATTTACTAATTTTAAATATAATTTGATAATATAATATAAAAACAATACAAAAAAATATATAAATTTAATAAAATAAAAAAGATTTGTAATAATATTAATTGTGATATAATAATTTTTATATTTTATACATATTATATATAAAAGTAAATATAAATATACAAATTATTATATTTAATAAATACTAAAAGGAATTTTGAGGGGTGAATGCAAGTTATAAGGCAATGTGTTTATGGATACTCGTAAAGTTAAAAAAAATAAAAAAAAATTGAAGGTTCATTTTCTGTTAAACATTTTCAATTTTTTTTTTCAAAATTGTTATTCTTTAATGAATTATTTTTTAGTTGCATACTATAAAAAAGATGTATTTGATGATATTAATAATGATTAATTTTTTTTTAAGATATGATTTACTCTTTAGTAAAAAAAATCAAAATATGTCATAAGTTTTTATACTTTTTAATTTTTAAGAATTTAATCTTTCTAATATTATTTTAAAAAATTTATTCCTTATACTATTTTTTTTTTTAAGATTTCAGTTCGATTGTTAACAATATACAACAATTAAATTTTTTTTAAAAAATATTATAAGAATTAAATTTAAAAAAAATAATATTATAAAAATTAAATTCTTTTAAATAATATTAAAGAGATTAAATTTTTAAAAATAAAAAAATATAAGAATCTATGACATATTTTAACCATAAAAAATATATATTATTACTTTTTTTTAATTTAAACCAATTAGGAATGAAAAAATTTACTTTACATAATATATATTATGAGTAAATCGATTTTATTTAAATTCATAATATTATATATTATTCAAAAAATCAAATTTAATTCGATTTAATATGAAATGTTATCACCCCCTTTCATAAGTATAATATAATATTATGTTAATTTAAAATGTTATTTATAATTTTTTATATATTACAAGTGAATAAGAAAAAAAATTGAGAGGGAAAAAAATCGTCGCTAAAAAAAAAGTTAATTTAAACCAAACGTATATACGAAAAAGAGCACAAGTCTTTGAGCCTTGAAATAATTTAAGTAGGCCCATTTTTCTCCTACCAAACCACACAAAGCCACGTGTACAATTTTGTAGGGTTCAGATCAGCCAATTTCTAACTCCAACACAACACGACGCAATTTGGAACACCATATGAAACAGTATATCCCCTATCGTGGCGATATCCCATTGGTGTTTTCGAACAACTAACCAACGATTAAAATAAAACTAGCCGCCCTAAAAAACGAATCAACTGCATCGCGCCCGACCGTAGTCAAATCAACATCCAATTAAAAAAAATTAAAATTTTATTAGTAGGGTTTAATAGTGAGCTTCTTCCTTTTTTCTCGTCTTCCTCTCTCGCAGAAGCTGGAAAAGCTCTCTGCTTTAATTTTTTTTCCTTTTTATTCCGCCTCAGAGCCTCTCTACAAACATTGAAATTACAACGGGTACGGAATTAATAACCGACTCTGTTTTTTTAAATGAAAGCAACGGTGATTACTAGCTCGGAATTGAGAACCGAGACAGTAAAGGAGGAAGGTTCGGATCTTGGAAACGGGTCAGTGGGTTCTGCTTTTCCCAGTGTTGATCTGTCAGAGAGAAAGATCAAGTTTCATCGAGCGAGGAAGCCCTTTAATGGGTTTAAAAGTTGTGGCGGTGGTGATTTTAGGATAGAGACACTAAACCCCGGGTCGGGTTCGAAGCGGGTACACGGGGTGGGGTCTGGTCAATTGGGTGTTACAGGAAGGAAGGTTGATGGGATGGATATGTGTGAGAATGGTTTGGATCCAGTTCTGAGTTTGAGGATTACTTTTCGTAAAATTGTAAGCTTTTTCTTTTATGGGTTCTTTTCTATTTGTAACCTTTCTCTTAAATTTTGTGTTATGTCTTGTTTGCTGTTAGTTAATTTGTCTTCGGATATTTTCATGAATGGTTGACGTGGGTTACGTCATTGAGCTTGCTTTTATCAATGTTTTGTTTAAGTGGAGTCTTTTGTCAAATGCAGTTTTTGGAGGTTTCTGTAGTTCTTATCTATCTGGCTTTGTTGGTCGTCTGATAATAATATAAGTGTCTTCAATCAAAGTATTGTTTGTTTCCAAAAAACTTGGTCTTCAATGTTGGATTTTTTTCTTTGTTATTATTGGAAAATGTTAACATAGGTGGGTTTTTACAATTACACTAGCATGGCGCAAAAAATTGATAGGGTGCTGGTTTGGAGAATCTTGGAAACACTTGTTTTCTTAATTCGGTATTGCAATGTCTGACGTACACAGAGCCTTTAGTAGCTTATCTACAAAGTGGCAAGCATCAAAATTCTTGTGAGTGAAAGTCTCATCTTTTCTTCTTGTTGTGTAGTACAACATTTATAGGCTTGTGTTTTCACTTATGCGCATCAACGTTTCTGCATACAGTTGTTATATTTTGGCCATAAGTGCGTGTCTAGTTTTACATGTCATGTTTGTATATTTCATCTCTGATGATGTCCATGTTTCAATTGGTTTATGAAGGCCGTATTGCTGGATTTTGTGCCTTATGTGCTATCCAGAAACATGTTAGCCGTGCTTTGCAATCAACTGGGAGGATTTCGGCACCGAATGATCTTGTCTCAAACCTACAACGTATCTTTTTTGTGTATAATGTCATTGACTTTTTGATTTTCACCCAAGGTGCATGTGGTATTTCCTTGAATCACTGCCCAATGGAGATTAGTTAAGGAAAGGCAGTTAGCTATAAATTTCTGACATTCATTTGAGGGAGTTATTTGTTATATTGCGGCCACAAATTTAAACCTGAATTAATATTAATATTGGTGGCTAATTATTGTTTCTCCTGATTAAGACATTCTGCTCTTTAGTTTCCAGAACTTGTGATTCTTGACCTCATGCTTAGGCATATCTCGGAACTTCCGAAATTCTCGACAGGAGGATGCACATGAGTACATGGTAAACCTTCTGGAATCCATGCACAAGTGCTGCTTACCTTCAGGAATACCAAGTGAATCCCCTAGTGCTTATGAGAAGAGTTTGGTGCACAAGATCTTTGGTGGCCGCCTTCGAAGTCAGGTAGCTTTTTTCTTGTTGAATTATGATATGACCAAATTCTAAACATTTTTTGCTAGATTTGACAATTTCTGAATTTGTCGCAATTAAGCAAGGAAAATTCCTGTACTTAATATTTATGTTCAAGTTGCTGTTTGAACTTCTTATAAAATGATGCTTCTGTACGTTATTTAATAGTTTCTTGTTACATCATCAGGTGAAATGCATGCAGTGTTCATGCTGCTCCAATACATTTGATCCCTTCCTAGATTTAAGTCTCGAAATAGTTAAGGCAGATTCCTTGCATAAAGCACTTAAAAACTTCACCACTGCGGAGCTTTTAGATGGAGGAGAGAGGCAATACCAATGCCAACGCTGCAAGCAGAAAGTTAAGGCAATCAAACAGCTCACAGTTTACAATGCACCTCATGTACTTTCCATCCATCTAAAGAGATTTCGTGCACATGATTTTGGGCAAAAGATTGACCGGAAAGTTGAATTTGGTCTGACCTTAGACATGAAGCCTTTTGTCAGTGGTTCCAATGTGAGTAAACTTCTGTTGCATACTGTTACTTTTCTCAAGTGAGTGTGTTTGTTGGTTATCTAAGCCATTCTTTGGGAGCCACAGAAACTAGTATCAGAAGAATAATGTAATGTCGTATAAGTGTCTTTTCTCATATGACTTTTAAGGGGCAATGATCTTAGGAAGAAGTTTACTGTTCATTTGCTATTTATTCTGTTCAATTTTTTGCATCCTGAATGCTATATATACACCATTCTGCTGTGAGGAAACTATGCATGTCATCTTTCTTGCCAATAACTTTGACATCATGCTTTATATAACTAATTGAAAAGTTAAGTTTGTTGGACATGGCAGGAACGAGATTTGGAATACACTCTTTATGGTGTTCTGGTTCATTGTGGATGGAGCACTCGATCTGGCGACTACTACTGCTTTGTTCGCACATCAAGTGGCATGTGGTATTCCCTTGATGACAACAGGGTACTTGAAACAACTTTGACCTTTTAGGTTTTTTCTAGCTGTTAGAGTTCTAGTAGGGTTGATAAGTGAGAGGATGTTTGGAAGGACCTCTTTCTCTTTCTTCAATTTCCGCTAAAAATGGGGAAAGGATCAAGATGTTGAACCTGCATTAACCCCGTTATTGTTGAAGATGTAGTAGCACATTATAATATTTAAATCATGTGTCTTACTGTGCTACGTTTGCAAGCCGTAAGAGATGTTCATTGTTGGAACTTGAGCTACTTCAATTTGTGGAAACATGACTCATAAGTTAAATTCACTCCGTCACATGCAATGGAATGAAGAAAGATTAAGGGTGGGGATGAGGAACTGTTTTTGTTTCTTATTCTATTATTTGAAAGATCCCTTACTAGATGCATTATTATGGATCTTGGGAATGAACCTTCTTATGTGTTTCCAAACATAATGCAACAGGTTGTCCAGGTCAGTGAGAGGACTGTTTTGGAGCAGAAGGCTTACATGTTGTTCTATGTTCGTGACAGAAGAAATACTGCTATAAGAAAAACTATTGATATTCTTCAGAGAGACAACTTAAAAGCAACTGTGAAAGGAAGGTCTGTTTTTGATCAAAATCCTATGGAGCATGTGCAAACTGGTCCAGATGAGAATAAATTATGTGCTTCAGGCACTTCTGCTGTTATGACTCAAAAGGATACTGTTGATGGTGGCTTATCAAAGGATACAATCATGAAGGAAGTGCCATCTCATCAAGATTATGTTCAGTTAATGGCAGAACGCTCTGTACTTAACCTGTCCATTTTACCCTCTCCCAATGTGCCATTATTGAAGGCCTCATCACAGTCATCTGCTTCAAACCTAGTTCATGGTGAAAACTTGCAACCATCAGTGTGTTCTGTGGTTGGCAATGTTGGAAGTTCTAATATTGAAATTTCTACAATTACTGTTGGTGCCAAAGACAGTGACTGTAATGAGAGGGGAAACTCTAAAAGGGATTTTGGAGTCCCAGTGACCATGTCACCCAATTGTGGTGGTCTCCAGAACTCAGACACTGACAATATTGTGACTAAACAGACCTTGCAGAAGGTAAAAATGCATGTTTTATTCAGTACAGAGGCTTCTGAGTCGTCTTCACTATGTCGGTGGCATTTGCACCTGTTTCTAATTTCTAAATCTGTTTATGCGTCCAGATTAATTTTGCTCCAAACATTGAGGTTTCAAGTACCGTTGTTGCGTTAGAAGATTTTATCGATAAAGCAGTGAATAATGTTTCTGGTGAAGTGCCATCTTCGAGTAATACTAACGAAACATTGAAGAATGTTCAGGCTTTTAGGTCTCCAAATAGGCCAGACTGTGACAGTAGTCAGGTGATTGTATATATATTATTCCATATATAACAATAGTAATAATATTGGTACTTTTACATTGAATTATGATTTGTTTCCCATTCCATTTCCAGGTTGGAGATGTTTCCAGTGTCAGTACCAGTGATAAGTCACTGAACGAGAAGGGAGATGATAGTAGCCAAAAAAATACTTCCGACTTCCCTTGGAGCATTCCAAATGGTTCTCTGAACACTAAAGCTCCTGAATATGCACCCTGTCGAAAATCAAAGACGAAGCATCTGAAGCGTCAGCTTAAAAACATGCATATTGGCTTAAAATTAACATTATTCAGGGCATCTCTACACATACACAGCAAGAAGAAACATAAAAGGAGCAAGAAATGCACATTAAATTCCGACGTTCTTTGTAAAGAAAATTTGTTGGATAAGGATTGTTTTCCCTCAGATCTGGGGCCATCTACATCTGAGAAATCCAGCACAATGAGTTTAGGTTTGATTCAATGTGGGAGGAAAAACGCAGGAATTGGTACTGCTCTGGAAAGTGTTAGCAATAGTGCCAGTTCCTTGATGAATACTATACATGGAGAATTTAAAGAGAGGATTTATCAGAATGGTACTGTTCTTGCTACGGATCAACAGGTAGAAAGGAGTTCTGGCTTAGTCTCAGTAGCCAACTGGCATGACTCAATAGAAATTGCTTCTTTGAAAGATTGCAAAACTGGTGCATCTTCGCATAGGCATGTGCTTAAGAGTGGTCTGGGGGAGACAACTGGTGCGTTCTTATCTAAAACATCTATTCCAGCTGCTCACATTCACATGTGCATCTCTTGCATTTAAATCTTTTATGCTCCATTTCCACTGTTTTGTTTTGCATTTCTTTTGGGTTGGGGGGGGGGGGGGGGGGGGGATGGGGACTCTGCTGAATGTTATTTGACTTGCTATGTAATTCTTTGGCCTTTTTTGCTTGCTGCAGTTGCAAGATGGGATGACATGGACTTTGCCTCACCCTATCAGACCGTAGAAGCAAATGGTATGGAAAGTATCAAAATTGGTTATGTTCTAGATGAATGGTGAGTGAACATAGATGCATTTTTTTTTTCATATCCTTTGGTTGCAATATCATCTTTAACTGCTGATTTTGTTAATTTTTGGAAAAGAATGTGCTTTTCATTTCCTTATAGCTTAATCTCATAATACCTGATTTAACTTTTACAGGGATGAAGAATATGACCGTGGTAAGAGGAAGAAAATAAGGCACCATAACCACAACTTTGGTGGTCCAAATCCTTTCCAACAAATTGCCACCAAGAAAACACAGTTAAAGAAGGCGAAATTGGACCATTCTAACTCCGAAAACCAACCATTCAGGATATGAAGTAATCCATCAATTTGGAGCAATTTTGACCTGTCTGTCTGCTGCTACAGTTAATGTAGTAATTGTTGCTGTGAGCTAAATTCTATCATGTAACCAGGAGTGTTTAAAGTGGAAAAAGAAAAAGAACATTCAAAAAATTCAGATTTGTTTTGCCTTTCTGAAATTTCTTCATTAGGGAAAGGTAGGGAAAGGGAGAGACACATGATTATCAATGTATTAACTTGGTTTTGTACTCACGGGCCAAAAGAGCCTGTATCTTAGTAATAAAGACCTTGTGGTAGTGCCACTTATTATTCAATTACGTATCGAGAATTCTTTCTTCTTTTTCATTTTAATTTACAACGCCATTTGAAGTAAAAGCAAGCTGGGAGGTTAATCTCAGATAAAAGATTATCAAAAGTACCTTCTTTTTCTCGTTTTTGTTCAACCAAGTGGGTTTATTCAGGTTTGGAGTTTTGACCCTATGATTCAGACCAACGCCTCAAGGGTAAGGTGATCATCAAACCTGGAAACCCCCTCAATTTTCTGTCCAGTGTCCCAAATGATTGGTCCATGCTAGTTTTCAAGAAAAGCTCACCATTTTAGAGCCTCCAATCTTCATGGGTCAATATTCAATCATCAAATTTCATTTTTTTTTTGTTCAGTGAAAAAAATGATTTATTCTAACAAGAAAAACAAATAACATGAGGGCAAAAAAATCCAATTTGAATATATAGAATATTACTTGGCCAAAAAATATATAAAATATAAAATAAAAGAATAAGTAATTGAAATGGTTTACAACTGGATACGAGCACAGGGTTCGAACCTAATTCAAACCAAACGCTCATGTGCAAAACAAAAAATTCCCATGAATGTGGCATAATGCACGCCTGATCAGTGACAACAATCAATCAAACTACTGGAGAAGTTGACCCAAGGCCAAGAGAAAAGAGAAAAGTAAAGAGGTCAGACTTTTAAAAGGAAACATGACGAAGAAAAAATTAAAAATCCATTTTTCCAAGGTAAATTACTAAATATAGTAACTGTTTGTACAAGAAAGTTTTTTAGTACAAACTGAAAAACCATTTATGTTTCCATTTTCTTCTGAACAAAAAGGAAAAGAAGCCTCTGCGTCAGTTAGAAAAGAAACCAAAACTTCTCAATTAGCAGAAAAAGAAAAGGAAAGATGATCAACACTCAATGAAAAATCATTGGATACCCACCAACAATACATGATAAATTCTTCTTTATGAAGCTCAACCTCTGACAGTTACAAATACCATCTTTCCCTTTCCAATATATCATTGTCTCTGCTTCTCTACCCTTTCAAAAACCTGTTCTTGAACTCTTTCTTGAGTAGTAATATTATTTTCAGGGCAACACAAAAAAAAAAAAGAACAATTATGGTTGGAAAAAGAATAGGGCTGTTTATGCTCTACACACAGACAAAAGTTCTTCACTTTCGTTGTATTTTGTTTTGTTGGCTTTGATAAATTTGCAAAGCCAGACAAAGGTAAGCTCACATTCTCTCCTGACACACCCAAAGCTTCAGAATACCAAAAAAAAAAACAAATCTTTTTCTTGGAAAAGTACCATTCATTCTTCCAAGAGCACTATTCATTTTGTTGTTTTCTTACAGGCACTTTGTTTGGGATTTTCTGGTCATCACAAGAGCCTCTACCAAGCTGCAGCATTTTTAGCCAAATAATCACCTTGTAGTTGAAAGTTGAAAGCCCAGAAAACTGCTTAACAGTTGTTCTTATTGGGGATAATGGCTTTAATGGATTTTGCAGAATTTGGAAAAGTGTTGTCTTGGGTTGACTCAGAACTAGTTATGATATTGTGCTGGCGAATTTTAAGTTTAGAGATAGAGGCTTGAGTTGGTTAAAGGTGTTGCCTTTCAGTTTTCTTCTTTCTTTTTGTTTCTACGTTTTGAACTTTTGGCTCAAATGAATTTTGGTTCGTTTGGTTTTGTACTAATTCTGTCACTCTTCTTCAAGCATTTTACTTGTCAACTACCCAATACAGATGAGTTTTATGTCTCCGATTTCTTGAAGAAGATGGGCTCGAACTCTTACTTGTCCTACAACTTCTCTGATTCTGTCTGTTCATGGGAAGGAGTGCACTGTGATACCAAGAAGGAGAATGTTATTGGGTTAAAGGCTTCAGGTTTAGGTCTCTCTGGTTTGATTCCTGATACCACCATTGGAAAGCTAACTCAGCTTCAGTCGTTGGATCTTAGTAATAACAATATCACCTCTTTGCCTTCAGATTTGTGGGGTTTAGGCTCACTTAAGAGTCTTAATCTCTCCTCTAATAAGATTTCAGGGTCTCTCCCTAACAATATTGGCAACTTTGGTCTGCTTGAAGTTATTGATCTTTCTGGCAATAATTTCTCTGGGGAAATTCCGGCAGCTATAAGCTCCCTAGTTAGTTTGCAAGTTCTTAAACTTGCTGGAAATGGATTTCAATGGAGCATTCCAACAGGAATTCTAAGTTGTCAGTCTTTGGTTTCATTTGATATCTCTTCAAATCGTCTAAATGGTTCCTTGCCAGTTGGTTTTGGTGCAGCATTTCCTAAGCTCAAAGCTGTAAACCTTGCTGGAAATGAGATTTATGGCCGGGACACGGATTTTGTTGAAATGACGTCTCTTACAAGCCTTAACATTTCCGGGAACTTGTTTAAGGGTTCGGTTATGGGTGTGTTTCAGGGGCAGCTAAAGGTGATTGACCTCAGCAAGAACCAGTTTCAAGGTCCCATTTCTCAGGTACAATTCAATTCTACTGACAAGTGGTCTCATTTGGTTTATCTAGACTTGTCTGAGAATCAGCTTAGTGGAGAAATTTTCCTAAATCTGAGTCAAGCTCAGAATCTTAGACATCTTAATCTTGCGTATAATAGATTTGCTAGACAGAAATTCCCAAGAATTGAAATGCTTTTTGGTTTAGAGTATCTCAATTTGTCTAAAACCGGCCTCATTGGTCATATTCCTGGTGAAATTTCACAACTGAGTAATTTACATACACTAGATGTTTCATCTAACCATCTTACTGGCCAAATTCCATCACTGGCCAACAAAAGCCTCAGAATACTTGATGTTTCACACAACAATTTGAGTGGAGAGGTTCCTAAATATCTCTTAGAAAAACTCCCACGGATGAAGAGATACAACTTCTCTTACAACAACTTAACCCTTTGTCCTTCAGGGTTCTCCCCTGAGACCTTCGAGACAGCCTTTTATGGCTCATTGAACAGCTGTCCAATTGCCGCAAATCCTGTCCTTTTCAAAAGAAGAACCAATAGACATTGGGGGTTTAAGCTTGCCTTAGCTTTAACCGTCTCCATGGTCTGCTTGCTTTCTGGGTTGCTATTCCTAGCCTTCGGTTGCAGAAGGAAGTCCAGGATATGGGTAGTTAAGCAATCCTCATATAAAGAGGAACAGAATATTTCAGGGCCTTTTTGCTTCCAAACTGATTCGACCACTTGGGTGGCTGATGTTAAGCAGGCAGCATCAGTCCCGGTAGTGATATTTGAGAAACCACTCTTAAATATCACATTTGCAGACCTCTTGTCTGCAACTTCAAATTTTGATCGAGGCACACTATTAGCAGAAGGAAAATTTGGGCCTGTTTATAGAGGGTTTCTGCCTGGTGGAATTCATGTAGCTGTTAAAGTTTTGGTTCATGGATCAACATTGACAGAACAAGAAGCTGCAAGAAAGCTTGAGTATCTTGGTCGAATCAAACACCCCAATCTTGTTCCATTAACTGGATATTGCTTGGCTGGGGATCAAAGGATTGCTATCTATGATTACATGGAGAAGGGGAATTTGCAGAATTTGCTGCATGACTTGCCACTTGGTGTTCAGGCAACGGAGGACTGGAGCACTGATACCTGGGAAGAAGAGAACAATGGGATACAAAATTTTGGCTCTGAAGGGTTATTAACAACCTGGGAAATTCGACACAGAATAGCCCTTGGCACTGCTAGAGCACTGGCATTTCTTCATCATGGCTGTTCACCTCCAATAATCCACAGAGATGTTAAAGCTAGTAGTGTTTATCTTGACTTAAATTTGGAGCCTAGATTATCTGATTTTGGATTGGCCAAGATTTTTGGAACTGGTCTAGAGGATGAAATTGCCCGTGGGTCACCGGGATATGTACTACCACCGGAATTTTCTCAGCCCCAATGTGATGCCCCTACACCAAAATCTGATGTATATTGCTTCGGTGTTGTTTTGTTTGAGCTAATCACAGGGAAAAAGTCAATTGGAGATGATTATCCAGAGGAGCAAGAAGCAAATTTAGTGAGTTGGGTTAGAGGATTGGTGAGAAAGAACCAAGGTTCAAAAGCTATTGATCCTAAAATTCATGATACAGGGCCACATTACCAAATGCAGGAGGCCCTCAAGATTGGTTATCTGTGCACAGCTGATCTTCCTACCAAGCGACCAAGCATGCAACAGATTGTTGGCCTTCTCAAGGATATTGAACCCAGAGCTCCTCAATGAAAAACAACGAATATAAGTTGGCCTCTTTCTTTTTTTTTCCTTCTAAAGTTGTTATTTTGCTACCATGGGAGGAGATGTACAGTAATCATTAAATTATGTCTTGGACTCCGATATCTTTCTCTAGATCACTTTTCCAATGTTGGCATTATCGTTTAATTTATAATTTTATACACACTAGTTTGATCCTTAAAACTTGAAGGCAGAATTCTCCTTTCAAGTTTTTTTTATCCTCTTGGCAGTTGGCACTCATTATGCTTTATCATTTATACAAAAAAATCAATCTGAAACCTGTGTTATTATTAAACAAGTGAAGTGATGGAGTCTTGACTTGTGTTTCTTTGTCCCTCAAATTGCCAAGCTTTGAATGCTTTGCTCTGGCAATTGCGGCTTTTGGTTTCCCTGGAGACAGATGCTTATGCTTTTTAGGATAAGCAAACCCCGAATACTACTGTTCAGATTCCTCAAAGGGTATTTTTTTAGCAGTTATTTTTTTCTGGAGAGAGATTCCAACCACAATTTATTAGATGTATACGCCTAAACTGCTAATAATTGAAGATGAGATGCTTGTTCATGAACATTTTCAAATGCTTGAGAATTTCCTAACATACTAGATAGATATTATCATGGTGCATTTTTTGCTCTTTATTGTATGATATTAACATCCCATGATATTTCTGGTAATGTCAACTGATATTTCTAGATAATTTCCAAATAGGCAGCTTAATTGAGTTGATTTTAAAGCATCTTTTGTGACTTTGACTTTCAGCATTTGAGAAGGATGGAAAAGGAAAACACTCCTCTTCTGTCCTATTTAAATTATTGAGACAAGTTCCAGGAAAAACCATGAAGGTTGTTTTACACTGGCAATGTAAAGGCTAAAAAGAAGAAGAGAAATATAATTAAGAAATGGATGCATTGTTATAAATTTATCAAGTATTCACCCAAAGTGGAGAAAGCAAGCTTCTGCCAATGCACTTTTGCAATGTGTAGAAAGTTATCCTCCAGAAAGAAAAGAATAGGTCCATTTTTTGCTTTACTTAACATCATGGGTTGGTGTAGAAAAAGCTGTCCGTTTGCATGCTAGAATTTCCACACCCACTTGGACTTTTAGCATCATAAAAAATTGGTATAAGATCATTTAAATCTGTTGAAAAGATGTTTAGACTCCAAAATTCATGCATCAATTGGTGGGTGTAATGATTGTGCCCAATTCCCAAACTCTTATTACTTCCAGGACTAAATGCAACCATATCTTTAGACTATTCTCTCCTGTCAATTTATGAGTTTAATACATATTCAAGAATTGGCTGTCAGTTACCCTTTGGAATAGAAGACTATTTTTACTTAATTCTGCTGCTTCATTGCTTTTCTTTTCAGTATAGACAAGCAAATTAGGAACTAGCTTTTTAGAGTAGAGTGCAGCATAGATATATACATGTTGTTTAGACTAATCTTGCCTGGCAGTATCCTTCCAGGGGCTGGTGCTTCCTAAATTTTTTTGTTGACTCAAAATTATAAAGCCATGAAAGTGAAGGGATGAGTAACACTGTACTATTTTTACCAACAGCTTTCTATCTCTAACCCTTTCAGAAATAACTTTTTGACCCAAGAATGAATATGCTGTGTATAATTCCATTCCATAAAAATTTGACAAATGTAGTCTTTTATAATTCTGTCCTTGCAGAAACAAAAGGGTTGCATATATATTCTTTCTTCAGCACAATGATTCTTGCACAGGCTGTTAACATTTGCTTGGAAAAGAATATTAAGAAGGATGCAGCTTTTTCACATCTGCTAACCTTAGCTTATGATTGTTGGTTGCATAAGAGTTTTCATGGGACTTCCTTTTTTTTCACCTTCTGACAACCCACTCAGGCACTCGCTTTCACAGTCAAGGTCTGCTAAAAATGGATCCCTTTTCCTCAATATCTTTATCATTATCTCTGCATATCCTCCAGGATGGCTACTCAGATGCTCTCACATTTTTGTTGCTACTAGCTATTGTAACATATGATAAAGATGAATCAATTGGTAGACTTCATTGACACAAACAGATCAATTCTCATTTATTTTTCTCTGTGTTTCTTAACACTTTCTCTTTTATAGTTGTGGATTACAAGTGTGAGGTAAGCATTAGATTAGCATATTTGTTGCAGTTTCAGAGCAAGAATAAAGCCATATTCCAAGAATATATGCAAACTCCATGGACCCTTACAACCCACATCCCTTAGCATCCGGTCATCTCCTCCCGACATGATAGCTTTACAACATAATTATCCCCCCAAAAAAGAACACATCTTGGCAAAAGAAGACGTGAACCATTAAAATTGAGTGTTTAAAAGAATCACAGGCCAATCATTAATTCCAGAAAAAAGGAATTGAATAAAGAAATAGTTCCCCCCAAAAAAATCAACACAAGAAATTAACAATCTGTTCCCTTTATCTAAACAGAAATAGAATGGTGAGATAAACTAAAGGCTAAGCAATCCTACGGCCAGGACAGATTCTTCGGCTTAACCATGGTTAAGAGAAATGAAGCTCCTTTCCTTTGCCAACTCGTCAAAACTGGGAATAAAGGAGCCAGTTACCGCCATTAAGTGTTTCCTAGGTGAGAAAGAGAGAAAGATGTCTGACGAGGAACATCACTTTGAGTCAAAGGCGGACGCTGGAGCCTCAAAGACCTACCCTCAGCAAGCTGGTACCATTCGCAAGAATGGCTACATCGTCATCAAGGCTCGTCCTTGCAAGGTCTTTAGCTTAATTATCTTCTTTATCAACTTGAATCTGGGTTTTTGTTTCTTTTTCGATATTTCATGGTTATATTTTGGTTCTGTTAATGGGTACTCCTGTTTTCCTGTTTTATTTCAGGGTATTTGATTTGCCTTGGTACTTTTTCTCAAAACCTGGATACTATCGAGTCTTTTTCTAACTAATAAAGGAATTGTAAAGTCTGTGCTCATTGATGTATAGACAGATTAGTTTACACTTTTCGCCAGCATATTTTTTATGACATTAATTCCTTGGATTAGGCAAATTCCTTTAGTTGAACAAACATTCCCTTGGTACAACCGTATTTGCTGTTCATTCTGGTAACTAAAAGGGTCTGCTTTCTTTGTTTCTGTATAAGTGGTTCACGTTTGCTGTCTTCAAATTCATAATTTGTTTGTTTGGCACTCTTTCCCCAAATTAAAACAGGTTGTAGAAGTTTCAACTTCGAAAACTGGAAAACATGGACATGCAAAGTGCCACTTTGTGGGCATTGATATCTTTAATGGGAAGAAATTTGAAGATATTGTTCCGTCATCCCACAACTGTGATGTAATTTTATAACTCATAACCCTTACCCCCTCTCAATCCACTCCTTTCTTCTGCATAAGCAGCTAATTTACTCATTTTCTATCTTCTTTCACAGGTTCCCCATGTTAATCGTATTGACTATCAGCTGATTGATATATCTGAAGATGGTTTTGTAAGTTTTCTTTATGCATGTGTTAATAACTAGATACCTTTTCTTTTATAGGTTCAAATGCTTAGCTTTATATGTGAATCAAATCTGGCATAACTATCAGAAAGATGTCAGTTGAATTATACTGATTAACTGAATGGACTCTATTGTCCTGTAGGTGAGTCTCTTAACTGACAATGGAAACACCAAGGATGACCTGAGGCTTCCCACCGATGAAAATCTGCTAAGCCAGGTATATCATTAAGGATAGTTTAAGTTTCTGCAGCCATTCTTATATTTGTAACCCACTTTATCGTTGAGCAATTTATTTCTTTGTTTATTCTTTCGTGTTTACAGATTAAAGATGGGTTTGCTGCAGGAAAGGACCTTGTGGTGACAGTCATGACTGCAATGGGAGAGGAGCAGATTTGTGCTCTTAAGGACATTGGTCCTAAAAATTGAATATATGCTGCTATAGCTTTATTTGCTTATAAAGGGTTTTATGTACTATGCGTGTATGCAACATGGTATTTTAACATTGAAATCTTAAAGTTAGTGGACGACTGAGGCGAGTTGGACGAACTCTGGTGTAATCTGACATTACCGAAATATCTATAAATCCTTCATTTTGAATTTGATAAATTTAACATTTCTTTCAATGTTCTGTACATTTATGTCACAATGTATATGCTAATAGCCTAATACAAAAAAAAAAAAAAACAGAAACTTATGATTAGGATAACTTGCTCCCATCAACAGTGCCGTAGATGTAGGAAGCAAATCCCCAGAAGGTTATGAACAGAGAGAGGATCTTGAAGCCGCTCATCGGGTCATGTAATAGTATGACAGCAGCAATACTTGTGAGTGGTACCCTTACTGAATTAAGAACACCAGCCATCACAGTGGAAGCCAAGAAAAGCACAGCAGTGCCTCCTAGCACACCCAACTGAAAAGTGATTGCACCCCAAATAAGAACCAGATTATACGCAGTTTCCCCACCCTTGAAAGTTTTAGACTCAGATACCATTCCTTGAAAATCCTTGTTCACTATGACCCCAATAGAGGTAAACACAAAGGCAAAGAATGAAACCATGACCTGTTGCTCCAAAACAACATGGAAGGACCTTCTACCTAAGAACGTCACAAAAACCAACTCTGTGAGAGCAAAGATAAGGCCATGGAGTGCTGAGGCCAAGATATCCCATACAAAACCCCAAATGTATTGGCTGTTAGTGACACTATCGTATTTGTCTGAATCTGAATCCAATGCAATTAAGGTCATAGCAGCAGTTATTATCACAATAGCATTTATCATTGAAGCATTCAGTTTGTTCTTCACAATCAAGAAACCAAACAGTGCAGAAAACACTAGGGATGATGATGCCAAAAGAGATGCAGTTGATGCCGGGAGATAGGCATAGGCATATGCATACATGAGATTATCAGCAGCACTTAAAAACCCCAGAAAAACGTAAGAAAGGAAAATATATAAGTTGAGAGGAGTAGGGGAAGTTTTGAAGAAGAGGTAGGTAGGAAATAAGATCAAAGCAGGTATAGGCCATCCAGCAACTGCTACCCATGAAATGATCCACTTGCTTGTTCCCCCATTAGCATAATAGACTCGAGATAGAAGGCTTGAAGCAGGAAATGCCACAAGCATACCCAAACTGCTTAGAAATAGAAGAATCCAATGTGAAATTGGCTTGCTTTGGTATGCTTCCCAAGCCACAGTCTGAAACTTGGAAACCCATTCCAACAGTGAAAAAGAACTTCCTGATGAGACCTCCTCCTTCATTCTATCTCCTAAAATGAATCAAGAAACACATGATTAAAAGAAGAAATGGAAATTCAATTTCTTCCTCTTCAATTCTAAATCTTAGACAACCAGACAAACTGAAAGACACTGAAACAAACAACAAAAACGACCAAACCCTTAAAAAAAATGGAAAAACAGAGAAAAACACGGTAACTTTAGACAACCCATACTGAATTAGAACTAGAAAACATGAAGAACTTTATTAACCCCTAGAAAATCCAACAATAATTGTACTGAAGAAAAGAGCCAGTCTGAGACGTACACAGATGAAAGAACGAACCTTCCTCGAGTAGCAGTTCTTGCATCTAGGGCCAGAGATGACACGGTTTCCAGGTTCCAACGTTTATGGAATTCTGGTTTGACGTGAATGAAATATCTAATACTATATTGATTATTAATGTGTGGCTGAAAAGCATCGGACAAAGGTTAGGTAAGCGCCGGCCAATGACCAAGATTGCACCACATCATAATTAGATAACGGGTCCTGACGGTACAATATTCGGTAGCCAAAGATCAACATTGAGATTCATATTCCAATTGTAGCTTTCTATTTTGCTGAAATTTTGAAGGATACAGTATCTGGTGGGCAAATCCCCATGTATAGACGGCCATACGCTAAAGGCTAAAGCCAATATGAAATATACCTTGACTAGCATGAACACCCTTTGCAATTGCAGATACTCCTAGCTAAGTTAGAATTCTGCTTTTTTTTTTTTTTAATTATACATTAATTATTGAATCAAATAATCGTATCATCAATGTAAACTTTCTTAATTATTTTACCTACAAACATTGGTATCCTTATTTTTCATTCTAAAATCTTCTATCTATTATTTTTTACTTTTTATTTTATTTTTATTTTATACTATCCTCTTGGCTCAAAACAAATCAAACATGTCAATTGATTATTAAAATTTTTTTTATATGTAATTAATTGACATATTATTAAAATTAATATTTAAAAATTACAATAGCTTATACACAAAATATAATCCTGTTTATGCAGGATTGACAAGTTTTTCTTCACTCAAATTATTGATGCAACTTCTGGGCTGATGGTGGACACCCCACACTGACTACATAGGTTTGACTCCCTCTTTTCCCTTGTGTTTGGTTTTAATCCTGTATTGGGCCTCTGGCCTGTCAAAATTATATCTAAAAATTTCTTCCATTGGATTTGGAGGGGGGAGGGGCCCACAGGCCCATATCGAATATTCTGGGCTTTTAATTCTTTTTTTTCTCAAGAGACAATTGGGCCTGACCATTACTAAATATAAAAATAATATGGATGAAGGATTTATTTTTTTGTAAGAAACATGAATGAATTAATTATAAAATAATACGATAGGCAGCATGTCAAGCTTCATCGACGATGACTAAATCTTTAACAAAAGAAGGAGGTTCACTAAACACTACGTAATTAATCTCGTAATGACTAGAATTATTATAATAATTACTATTATTAAATCAAATAAAGATGTCAATACATTTATTCTCTTATTTAAACACGTGAAATATACGTTAATATTCAAGATTTTTCATCAACTTTTTGTAATTAGAGGTTAGAAGAAATATTACAGGATTAGTCACCTGGTGATTTTTAATCATTGAAATAACAATTGTAATATCTAGTTTAATTTTTAACTTGTAAATATTAAGTTTTTTCGCAAAAAATAATTCATTTATGAAAGTTTACAATTCAATCAAAATATTTGAATATATCTCAATATATCTAAAAAAACTAAAAATCTATTTTCTTTAACTATCTTGAATAATGACTCTAGCTCTTGCTTTTTCCGGAGTTGTCCAATACCAAATCATCCATGTTCAATTTATACCATTCATGGTTCCACTTAATGGACATAAAAGATTACAACAAAACTCAAACTCCTCTCTAATACATCGTAAAGAATCCAACAATTTTCGTAGTCGTTAATTTCATCAAATCAACGATCTCAATGATTTACCTAAAATTTCTTCTATTTCTTTCGAGCCAAATCTCCCATGAAACTTATTCCTATATTACTAGATGTAATGAATTATGATGCGCTTTTACTAAAAATCCAAGAAGATTCCAACACCATATCAAATATGGACCTCCCAACCAGGAAAAAGTCTTAATAAAAATAAAATTAATAAAAATAAAAATTTTTATTTAAAATTATTAAGAAATAATCGGATATGTAATAATATTTTAAAATTTGTATTGATGATTTATAAATAAACGTTTGACCAAAAGAGAATATAGGCTCCGTTTTGTTTGAAAAAATATTTTTTATTTTTTGTTTTTTTGAAAAACATATTTGATTACTGAAAATAAAAGTTATTTTTTAAAATTTAAAAATAAATAAAAAATATTTAATAATATTATTATTAATATCATTTAATTATAAATAATATATTTATTAATTAATGATGTTAAAAAATGTTTAAATATGATAACTTGTAAAATACAAAAAATAATATATATAATTTATTTTCACAATTAAAAATATTTTTTGTTTTTATATTTCAATCAATTTTTATTTTTGTTTTTTAAAAATTTATTTTTATTTTTAATTATCAAACATATTTTTACTCATTTCTTTTAATTTTTTAAAAAATAAAATAAAAAATAACTCTAATTTCTAAAACTAAGTATTACTTAAAATTTTAATTTTACAATAATTTTTGTCTTATCATTCATAAATTCAGGTGGACCGTTAATAGGGCCCAATTTTCGATGTTGGGGGAACAAGAATCCAAACAAAAAAATACTATACAAAAATAAAAAAAAACAATAAAGGAGCACTGATGTCTAGAACAACAGTCCGAGTAACTGAAAATACCCCGCGAAATGCCGTGAATCAAAGGAAAGCGTCAAAGTCAACAAAATAAACGGCCATCCCCTCACCTAAAGTAACGACGAAATCAACGGCGTTTTCGTTACACAGAAAAACCACCTGGGACAAAAAGGACAAGTCAAAGACACATATACCCTTTCTCTCCTTTCACTCTCTTTCTTTTAAAGAAACCGACCCCTTCTCTCTCCTAATCTATTCCGATGCCGTTTCGTCTTATAAATATTATTAAAACGACACGTACGTTTTTTCTCGGTCTGAAACCAAAAGAAAGTATCGGATTTTTCTGGAAAGAACAGAAACGAGAGTCGTTTGCTTACTTTACTCTCTTTCTCTGAAGAAATATCGGGCATGGCTGAGACTGAGAGCCAAGCGCAGCATACGAAACGACATGAGGAACAGCAAAACGACGATTTAGGAGGAGAAGAGGAGGAAGAGGAAGAAGAAGAAGAAGGGGTGAGTCGAGTTAGTGAGTCACAAGATGGTGCTGAGTTGAGAGACTCGCAATTGGAAACCCTAACGAATGACGATCCTTGTAGTGGTAAGTTTTTGTTTTTTTTTTTTTTGTGAGTGTTTTATGGAAGAATTTCGGGTTATTTCTTTTCTATTTGTTAAAGTAAGATTTTTTTTTCTATGGTGGAATTGTTTTGAACGAGTATGTATGTGATGATCACTCAGGGTTACAGGAGAATCCTACTTCAGAATCAAAGGAAGGAGCTGAGTTTAAGGTTAGGACTTTACTTTTTAGCTTTCATTTCTTTTTTTTTTTTTTAATTTTGAAAATTTTAGAGTATGGCGTTATATTGTTCTTATTTTGTTCTGATTGCTTGAACTCCACACTTTCTATTTGTGTTATTCTATGCGTAGTTTGGTTTGTTATAGGTATTGATTATCATACCCAATTCATCACAGTGCTTTTAGGGGGCGTCTGTTCTTTACAAGGAAATTAAAATTAGATTTCATTTAAGATGTATGGATTGATGACTTTGTTGCCTTGAAGTTTTTCTTTTTATGCCATCAGTGCCCTGACATTTTGTTATTGAATAAGTACTTTACACTTCGAAGAATGTGCTGAGTGACACATAGAGTGCTTATGTTCTCTCATTTTCCCCTTGCTATCATGCACGGTAGTGTTTTTCATTTTAAGGATGTCAGAGGTTCATGAAATGACTGTTAATTAAGGATTAAAATTATTGTTGTTGTTATTGATTGTCTTAGTGTTGAGGTCATCAGTCTTGCGGTAAACAGACTAGTTAAAGCCTTTGGAATTTGCAAGTTAGAATGCCCAACCACTCTGTAAGGGTTTGCATTCACACACACACAAACACCGTTGGTTCAGTAAAGTTGAATTATAGGATGTGGTAGCACCTCATATCCTGTTTGCTCCTTTGTTATTAAAGCCAATTGAGACCAAATCTCTTGCTGGCTTCATTAATCATCTTTGTCAAACATTAGTATTACTCGTAGATCGAGCTTCACCAGAAACATTCTTGACTGCCTCAGTGGCCATCAATTTTTCTGGGATCTGCACATCTTATCAATTCAGTCTCCTACAAAAAAAATTTAAAAGTACTAGAAAAGATAGAGGCTATATGAACAATTAAATTTCTATGTGATTGAATTGTTCTTTCAATTGAGTTCTTCTTTGTTTAATTTTCTTAGGAGCAAGTTAAGATAGCCCAGCGGGAAATTTCACCTAGTCTGGCTGTCCAGGGTACGGAAGCTCCAACACAAAATCAGCTTCAGTCATCAGTTTCTCCAACTTCTTTGCTACAACTGTCACCAACTTCTGTTAAACAAGCTATATCATCTTCTCCCACTCCAACTCTACCCGAAAAAAGCCTTTCAGATCAGAAGGTCAATGGTGCATCCGTGCCCAAGGCTAACCAGCAAAAACCTTCTAATCTTAAAACGTTATCTGTTGTTCCCATTGTGAAGACACCAGTATCTGATGGTTACAATTGGCGGAAATATGGTCAGAAGCAAGTGAAGAGTCCTAAAGGTTCTCGAAGCTATTATAAATGCACATTCTCTGATTGTTGGGCCAAAAAGATAGAATGCTCTGACCACACAGGCCATTTGATAGAGATTGTTAATAAAGGCATGCACGGTCATGAACCACCAAGGAAAAAAAACTTTACAAGGGAAAGTAAGATTGTATCATCTGCTATGCCTATTTCTCAGAGACCCACTACAGAACAGCCCATTATAAGACCTAATGATTCTGATCCATCCACATCTTCTAAAGAATCTGTACTGGAAACAACTGTAAATCCTGAAAGAAAACGACAGTGTTCAAGTGGCTCCGATTGGAATGGTGATGTGCAAGTGAAGAAAGACCTTTTGAGTGACCCAGAGCAGAAAAAAAGGCAGGTTTTCTGTGAATTTCTCTTTCTCTTTGCCTTTGTTTTTTCTTTTCATGTCATACATACATATGTATGTGTGTATTGTGTATTATTAATTGAAAAGCCTGTATGCGAATCTGGTTTTAATAGTTTCTCATTTTTTGATAACCAGGATGAAGAAAGGCAATGCAGTTTGTTCTGATTCTGTCCTAAAAATTGGGAAGAAACCTAAATTTTTTGTGCACGCAGCTGGTGATGTAGGAATCTCAGGTGATGGATACAGATGGCGAAAATATGGACAGAAAATGGTGAAGGGAAATCCTAATCCCAGGTGCCTGTTCACTTCTTAGTAATTTTTTTTTTTAAAGGTTCTACTATTTTATCCATTTAAACAATTACTCAATGTATTTGGCTGCGTTGTCTACATATTATTGTAATTTTATGTTATGGTGGACCCTCGAGGTTTACTACATTATCTTCGTTTCATTGGAATATCGGAACGGCCAGTCATTTTAACAATGGAGTTTGATGACAATTAGTACTACAAAGTTCCCATGGTCTTTGTCCTTGCCTTTAGTCTCAGCACTCGTTGCCCTTCTACTGTACTTCGCAAGCCATGTAGGTTCAATTTGTTTTTACCATGTTGTTCTGTACATCTCTCCCAAACCTATGGGAAGCATTTCTTAAGGCAGACGTTCAATAGTATGCATCTTTGAGGCTTTTTTTTCTCAGGATGACCGATTTGGAAGCCTTACAAATTCATTTCTTTAACTCAGTTGTTACGCTCCAATTTGCTTCAACATGTATGCATTCTATTGGTTTTATTCTGATCTTTTGATTGATGAATGTTTTCTAGGAACTACTATAGATGCACCTTTGCTGGGTGTCCTGTTCGTAAGCATATTGAGACAGCTGTAAATAATACAAATGCCGTCATTATAACATATAGAGGTGTTCATGACCATGACATGCCCGTACCAAAGAAGCGACATGGCCTACCAAGTGCTCCTCTTGTTGCTGCTGCTGCTTCTGCTTCTATGAACAACTTACAACTTAAAAAAGCCGATGGAGTGCAAAACCAAGTTACATCAACCCAGCGGTCAGTGGGTACAGAAGGTGAATTGACTTGTGAGGCCCTAGACCTTGGAGGTGAGAAGGCGATGGAATCAGCTCGAACGCTTCTGAGTATCGGATTTGAAATCAAGCCATGCCAAACTTAATTGGCTTTTGTGTTGTTAACACCAGGCATGTCTCCATATAAATTATTGAAGGATCAGGTTTGATTTTTAACACTTTTAGTTCTTTGTTATCGCTCTGGTTTCCGGTTAGGCTGTATATTTTCTGTTGTATTCCCTCTCAATATTTTTGGAACAAGGCTATAGTAGTAGAAACAATATAGATTTGGTCGGCAATCCCTTTTCCTTGTGATCTTAGTTGAAAGTTGGAACCATGTTCCAGATTGCTCCATTTTTTTATTGGCCAATGTTAAACCTCCCTTGGTTTTTGGTTTACCAAAAACAGTTGCTTCGAGTTCAAGCCATTCCTTTGATCTGACAAAAATCATGATCTCACTTTGGGACTTGGGTCATTGTTCATCTTTCTTGGTAAGGACGAGAACATGTTTTGTGTTTTTTTTTAATGTTATCCCAAAAAAAAAAAAAAAGGGAAACAGACAAAGCATCAATCAAGCCATTATCCCCCCCCCCCCCCAAAAAAAAAAAAAAAAAAACATCATTGGTAATATTGGGTTCAACAGAATAAGCATGTCATGTAAGATGGAGTCCTCCCCTGTTCCTTAGGACACAAACATTTTGCCCCTCACCCATTCTTGCCATCCATTTTAAAGCAAATAGACTTGCCAGTTTAAGCTTTGGCTGTCCAGCAACTTACAGGGTCAATACCTAATCAATCCCACCCTCAACCAGTCCCACCTAATATCCAAATGGTCAAGAATCTGATGGCAAAAGATCCAGTGGCCAATCTGGTTTCCTGAAGCCGGCAGTTCCTGATGCCGGTATCTAGTATATAAAAGATGATCTCTAATTACTAATCTTTCCAACTATACAGAAAAAATTGTACATGGTTTAAGACTTCCATGACAGACAGGCCCCATAAACAGCACATTTACCAGTTCATTTACTTTTTAGAAATCTACAATCTAGCAAATTCATGATGCATAGGTATTCATGAAAATTTTATACACAAAACCATGTTGATTACTACCCAAAGTAGAGAGTAATGGATCAGTCGATGTGGTAAACTGATGATCGAACCTCGAGCGCCATCCGCCACCAGCCAACATTATTTTAAGGAGAAACTCAATTCATCAATAGCTATGGATAATTCTGATTCAATCACATTATCTGTTTTTTTCTCTTCAGGAATATCTTTGATCCCATTTTCTACTTTTCCTTCTGCTGCTATTATACACTCCTGGAATCTGAAGCAAGTTGTGAGATGGTCGTTTGTTATTCCCGCCACTTGCATGAACGAGTAAATGACTGTTGGCCCCACGCTTCGAAAACCCCTTCTTACCAGATCTTTGCTTATGACATCTGCTTTTGGAGTTTTAACTGGAACCTGGCGAGGATATCTGAATCTGCTAATTATAGGCCTGTGGTTCACAAAACTCCAAATATACTCGTTGAATGACCCAAACTCATCTATAACCTGGTATCATCAAAACCTGCAAAAAGTTAGTTGCAATAATAATCATAGCGACTATGAAGTAACGAGGTATAGTGGTAAATGATGGAAAGTAATTAAATCGTATGAATGACTTGGGATTTACCAGCTAAGCAAGTTGCCATCTAATAGATAGGAATAATAAGGCTCCTCACTTACGAAATAAATAAACCATATGATTCAAACATAAGAAATCACTAAGCACCTTTTATATTTGTCTAATCATTTGTTAAAACAAGAGAGAACAATGTAAGCGGTCCATAACATTGGGTGCAATGATCAATTCAATGAATTCTGCATCAGGAGATACATGTGTAAAATAAGCCCAGTAGTAAAGAAGATGGCCAGAAGTGTGCTATATCTGGCAAGATAACATCAAATTATGTCTTCCACTATGTAAACAAGTTCAGTAGAGCAAACTTTTGTCATATTCCATCTAGTATAGAGACTGTTATCAAACCATGCTGCTTGCAAGTGATTTAGGAAGCACTATTTCTTGCAACCAAGATTAAGAAATGATTAAAAGAAGAATGAGAATCTACCTTAGAAATTTGGAGTGCATTCTCAATGATGGCTCGCAGCTTTAGTTCTGATAACAAGGAACTTGCCATGCTACCAGGTGCCATTAACTTATTCTCATTCAATTTTGATACAGCAAGAGGATCAAAATCCACAAAAACTTCTCTGCATAAAAGATACACTTAAGAAATGAGTCTACTAATTCAATGGAAGTAATGGATCTTCTATGGCAACAATACCTAAATATGTGCCTTTTGCTTAGGATAGCAGGCCATGTGAGTTCAGACAATGCACCCGAAAGCACAAGCAGCTCAAACAATTTCCTGCATGTGGACAAAAATATCAAGCAAACCACTAACCAAAGAAATTCCTTTTATCAAAGAGGTAATCCTTTTAATCAGTAATCAGACGCGGCAATATTAAGATCACTTACTTGTCATCATGTACAGGAACTCCCCACTCTTCATCATGGAAAGCAGCATAACTTGGATCTTATCCCAACAAGCAAAAATAAGTCAGCAGAAAAGATGAAACAAGAGCAATTAAAGCATCAAGGCAACCACAGTAAAACACTTTCCTCTATTAAATGGAATAAAATTCCCTCCAAATTAGGGATGACTTGAAGGTGTAAACCCTAACAGATTGAAATAGTCCGATAGACAGTCTTTCACTTTGAATATAATTTTTTAACCTCTGAATGTGTAACTAATTTGCATTCATGCTATTAATGCCATATGATGTACTTGGTGATAACCGTGCAAAACTTACAAATATCAAGTAAATGGATTGTTGATGAAGTCAGAAAGATAAAATATCAGGCAATTTAGTTTTGCATAAGTTAAAATTTTGAGATGCCAACTAGTTGTTTCCTTTTGGTAGATGCTGAACCTTGCTTGCCCACTCTGACTATATTAGTCAAACCTGACCTAATTGCAGTTTTGGGATTGGAGAACTTGAAAAGCATAAATTATCCAAAGAATTGCTTTGTTCTTAGTGCAGAACTATAAAAATAAACAGCCTATTTCTAAAGCCCGTGGCCATGCCCACTGGCCCATATAATTCTTTTCCTTATGACATTCAGAAAGTAATGAAGGGGATGAGTGGGGAATTTGAAATAGATTGTAAACTACTTAGAGCAAGCTTATGCTGCCGACTATTATTAAAATTGAAACCAGTCATATGAAGAAAAATGTTAACAAAAAACTTCTAATAAATCATGACAAACACACAGAAATTAGAGGACACAACAACACACCTGCATTTGGTGTCACCCACGCACATCTCTTCTTCAGATGTGAGCCATCAGGTGGCGAATCCAAACCATCATCGGAAACAATGCTGCTTGGCCTTGATGCGTATGGTTTCCTCCTACTTCCTACACTATTTGACCGAATTAACCTACCAGTAGATGCTTGACTATGAAATGAATCCGCGGAAGCATCAGATGAACATGAAGCATTTAGTGATAAATTAGAATGCAACAACTGCTCAGGGCGACGAAGCACTGAAGGAAGTGAATTGACAGTAGATGATGGAAGGGCTTTTTTCTTCTCTGCTACAGTGATCTCAACTGGAGACTTTTCAACCCTTCTCAAAGGCTTTGAAGCCGGTTTTCTTGCACTCAACGAACCCGCCTTGTTCCCCGCAGGTCCCAGTACGGGCCTTGCCTCAGAATCAGCCACATTCATCGACCTCAATTTCGGAGCACCAGACATAGATTAAGAAATATCTCAAATAAACACTAATTATCAAGATCTCGGCTTTTTTTAACCTCAAAGCAGTACCAAGTTCCTACTTTACCAGCTCTTTAGTTCACCCCAATCCTCAAAAATTTGCCTATCCAATCCTCAAAATGATCAAAACCCACTAACAAAATCCAGTAAAATCATCATATTCCTCATGAATACAAAGCTTAAACCACTTCAAAAACCCTTTTAACACCAAGAATTGCACTGATATTTTGAACTTATGGTACACACATTCATCAACCAGCCCCTTGGGAGCTCCCAAAACAGATCTCAGCTTTTCACCCCCCACAAACCTTCCTCAAATTTACAATTCTACTACTATATGATTCACTTAAATCCTCCAAAACCCATACCGATATCTCCCATTACCACCCAAAACAGACCTCCCAGAAACCCTTAAAACTTTCATTTTCCTTAACCTCAACGAGTTCAAAAATCAGCTCAAAACCCTAAAAACCAATAACCCATACCAAAGTTAAACAAAAAAGAGATCACTTTTTAAGAACCAGAAGCTAAAGGTTCAAACTTTAAAGTTTAAAGAAAAGGAAAAAATGGGGTCACGTCGTATATTCCTTTAAAGCATTCAAATTTAGCCTCGAAAAACAGATATTCTTCTCCCCATTGTGGAAAACGAAAGAGAAAGAGTTTCTGTTACCTCAAAAGAAAAAGTTTTTGTAGTATTTGTTTTTGAACCTGTGTCATATCACTCTCTTAAGAAAAAAGCTGACACATTTGCTGGCAATTCCATACTTTCTTCCTCTTTCTTTTTCCCGATAAATTCCCAGAAAAAATCCGAGAAGAATCAATCGGAGACTTGAAGAGAAACAAAAGAAAAAACGGGTTCGATCTATGAGAATTGATTTCTCTCTCTACATTCCTATATCTATAATTTAGTGAGAGAAAAGTAAAGAACCAATGAGTGGAAGAGAGAGAAAAGTGAAGATTGGCCTTTTGTTTATAGTATTTTATTTGACAATAGAGAGTGACCGGTTTATTACCTGCTATTCCCGATTACTTTGGAACTCTTTTCCTTTTATTTTTGGAATTTTTTTGAAAACGTATTTTCTTTTTATGGATTTTATAGTTGAGATTTCTTTTTCTCACATCACCTTAGCTGGTAAGAAATAAGGTTTCCACTCAATCAACAATTAAAGTTACTGTTTTTAATAATGGAAGTCAAATGACTAAAAAAAATTACTTAAATTTTAAAATTATTGAATATTATTTTTTAAAATAATATGTAAATTACATAAATAAAGCTCTACATGAAACAAGAATAAAGGACTTTTCCATTCCGAAAAGCTATGTCATTTGTCATAATTTGAGCACTAAATGCTCATAGAAGATAAAAAAAATTACAAACTCTTAATTTCTTATTAGGTGATAAAATAAGGAACAAGAAGATTTATTATTTAAAAAAAGGAACAAGAAAATTTTGTAATAACTAGATTAACAATTTGATATTAGCCAGATTTGATTTTTTGTGAAGGTTAGTGAAATTAAATAATAGAGTGAGTCCATTTATTTTCTCAAAAATAGTAAATGTATGAATGTATATTATACCTTAATGAAGGTTTGGTGTACCAAAAAATGATGGGATAGGGTTATTATTTTTTTAAAAAACTTATTGTTAATGTTTGATACTGGTTTTTGAAGAAGGATGCCATGAACATGAAAATGTCATTCATGACCATGATTATATATAATATGCGAGGTTTTCCTTGGCCCTGGAAATGGAATTTTACTCTGTTTTTTTTTTTTTTCTAGTTTAACAAGATGAAGAAGAAAAAAGAACTGCAAGGCAAACTGTAACTAAAATTGACTTTGATTTGAAGTTTAGTCTGTCTTGCTTTATCTCATGGATGATGATTGTAAAGGTTAAAATTTGTTGTAAAAAGAGCAGTTTGATTTGATCCTGTCAAAGACCAAAGCAAAGCAGGTTTTTTTGTCCTGCTGTCAGATACATTTGGCAAGAAAGACAATGGTTATTAATTGTGTAGCTATCCCAGGCAGGCACAGGCAGGAAACTGAGTTGTCGAGTCCGGGCTGAGCTGAGCAGACAACTTCAGCCTTCATGGACAGCTTCAACTGTCTATGCCTAAGCAGTCAAGCTCAACAAAAACGTGGGTTTTCGGCAAACAAATGAGTCGAGAAACTTGCTCAATTGAAAGAAGAAAACTCCTCCTGTTACCAGTTGTCGTATTTGCACCACCATTTGCATGCCTTTGCCTGAATCCATTTTGAGTAACGATTGAAGGAGCTATTTTTTTACCAGTCCAATTTGCCCAAATTACAACGTTTCAAAGAAATAAAAAAGCAATAGCATTAGGTGAGTGATCTTCTCTATTCAACTTTTTTTTTTTTTAGTTGGGTTAATATTTCTTACCTTTTATGGTGTGGGGCATTGTTAAAAAGTAAATCAAATACGATGAATTCATTTTTTTTATGCCGCATTCACAATCTTACATATATATTTCAACTGAAGTGAATAGGATAGTGAATGTAAAGATTCATAAATGTATTATTCGCTTTTGGAGGTTGAAATTGGATTATCACAATAAAAGTCATAAACCTAGCGCGAAACATGGCAGAAGGAATCAAGTTTTCTTACCAAACACTTTTATTAGATTTCCATGACCTTGGTTAGTTGATTTTAGTATAGACACCTAAAAGGGAGTAAATTATAATTTAGATGGGGTAGGGCATTTGAACTCGTGTGGGAGTGGGACTCTGTCTGATTTTGCCATTCGATTGACAAATACACTATCTATAGTACAACAGATGAAAGTGAAGGATCACAGCTTAAAGAGGTGAAAGAAAGAAAGATTTTTAAGTTAAAACTTATAATCAGAAAAGCAAGGCGTATCCTTTCTTGACTGTGGTGAAAAAGAGAAAGATTTCATCCGCAGTTTTGTCTCTACTTATAGTGGAGAGGGCAAAGTTTCAAATCATAAAAAGACTTTTATTTCACGATATAGGATGGGGGTGGGGTTTTATTTACTTGTCAGACACTTTCAAATAGACCAAAAACGCAAAGAAAACTACATAAACTCATAGCTCTTTTGATTCATATGTCGGCTATCAAATCAAGCCTACAAATTTACCTTCATCTTTCCGAGATCCTGCCACACTTCCCTAGGGTATGAGGGAGAATGACAATCTCAATTTCAAGTTGACATAACTACCTTAGATGAGCTGAGTTTGCCATGTTCCTTCAAATAAACTCACCAACTAATATTGGGGTTTTCCTACACAGAAGGAATAGTCACTCGAGAACAATTTGATTAATCGTTTAATTGAAAAACCAGCCATTTAGATTTTTGGTTTGGTAGTGGTTTCAACACCTACCAGAAATTAATTTTATTCATCTTCATAATGGCATAGATTGATTTTCTATTAAAGGCTAAGTGACACAATAATAGCTGCAATAAAAACTATCTAAAAGCTGTAATGAAAGAGTAAAGGGAACATCTTAAGGGTGCAATAAAAACACATGATCACTCAAAAACAAAATATTTGGTACATGTTCTCCAAGTGTCCAAAAGGGGAAAAAAAGATAAGTCATCTCAACATGCCTATCTGAGCATTGTCTTGCAACGGATGAATAAAAGCAACCAAATTGCCATATTCTGCCCCATTAATGAGCCAAGATTATATGATACGAAAATGGCATCTGCAATAATCCAACATCAACCACAAATTAGTAAATATTCAAGAGCAAATAAGCAGCAGCACTCGAGCAATTTAGCTTTGCAGTTCATGCATATGAAAAGCAATAACTTTTTTAAGCCTACAACAGCAATAATATATAAACTCCGCTCTCCTACCTGATTGCACAAGGATTTATTATTCCATACTTCCAGTATTATTGCTCATGATTAATCATTATTTTCTGACCTCAACCATTTTCTTGGAACGGATGGCAGTCATTTTTCACTAATTTAAAGTAGCTTCCAAAGCAACACTCTCGAATCAAGGTACTGATAAAATGATGTCATCTGTAATTTAAACCTATTATTAATGAGAAGAAGAAGACATACCCAAGCAGACCCCTGCCTTGCCATGCTCTAGGAGTCACCATTAGATTAACTAGTGCACCTTGTCTCATAATTATGACAGGTATTGGGTGACCCTCATTAACCTGAGCTTCAGAAGCAAGCCTTTGTAGCAAATTATCGCCGGCTTTCACATTACCAAATTTCACAATCTGGTCTCCAAGTTGTAAACCATCCTCCGCTGCAGGGCTCGAATCAGCTATTTCATCAACCATTGCAAAGGGTACACTAGAAATCATATCCACCTCATTGGCACTCGGACAATCTCTCAAAACAAGGTTTTGCAAGGATGCAGACGCACCAGCACCAACAACTGATGCATTTTGATTCGTTTCAACACCTATCAAGTATCACCCAAATCAATACTAATAAAGCAAAAAGTTTCCGCGCGTAGAAGAAGCTACCTTTTCATTTTTCTAGCACCAATTTCGTAAAGGGTATCCTTTAAACCGCCATATAAGGTGAAAACATAAGCTAATTGACAGGTTACAGCAAAAATACCATTTATATAAGCAAATGGTAAAAGAAATTGAGCTACTAACCTGAGACCTTCGGGGCTGAAGTGAGTCTTGACGAATGCAAAACTTGAATATTTACGTTTATTTTCTCTGTAATTTCCTTGTGGTCGTTTTTCAATTCTGCTCAAATAAATTGCCAACAAAAAAAGTTGCTAACTTTGTTTATACTAACCTTCCCCAAATGCATTGATCCTATCATAATAATAATAAAAAAGGACAATACCAGCGAGACGATGTCGTTGTGCTCGGACAACTGGGATGTCAATATCAGCTCGTGGAAACCCCTGCAAAGTACAAAAACCCTAATCTCAGAAAATTAAAAAAAAAAAAAGATCTGAACTTTGAATCCCAACAACAAAATTAAAGAAATTAAAAATATGGGTTTAAAAAAGGGAAAAAAAATACTTCGGAATCAACGAGGTTGCCAGAGAGACCAGGACCCCCTGGCTGACAGAGCTGCTCAATGATAGCGTTCATCTCAGCCTCCATTCCGCTTCTCTTCTCCATCAGCTTCATTGTCTCCGATTTCAAATTTGCCCCTACCATTTTCCTTTCTCTCTAATCTCCTTCTTCTTCCTCTATGCGACTGAAGGCCGCTTTTATAGGTTTTTTTTTAGCTTGGCGGAAAAGAAACTGAGGCGTGGCCGTGCGGGGGTTTGCTGGAAAATCAGCTCCGTATAATATATCGGTGAGCAGGTGCAACGCGCGTGATTCAGGTTCTGTGGGTTGAGCCTAAATCATTTGGGCTTGCTCTTTTTGAAGCCCAATAAAACACAAGTCGGTGCTTTCAACGGCTGCAGGCCATTTGGTTTGCGCCATAAGATTGGACTGAGGCTAGGGATAATTCTCTTTTTATAATTTTATAATTAGACCTAATGATTTATATATTTTTATTATTTAAAAATAATAAAATTCATATATTTATATAATATTTTATATGAAAATTATATATTATAATTTATATCAATACGAAAATATAAAATATATAACTTTTAATTTTATTAAATTTATATATAATTATTATTAAATTTTTAAGTTGTGTCATTTTTATATTATATTTTCATATTATATTTGTATCATATTTTAAATTATCAAATTTATTTATAATAATATCATTTTTTATGTTACTTAGTTTGGTATATATCACTTTTTTTTTATGATTTTGTTATTATCATGTAAATACCTAACCACATTTGCTAATTAACATGATGCTTGGACCGAATTAATTATGCCTTAGGAGTATTACTTATGTAATTTCTTATAATTTCACATGATGGTTATTGTGCAATGTTGTTTAGACAAGTCTATTACTAATAAATAATTGTGTTTATTCATTAACAATCACAATTGAAAGATGTCATTAATGTGAATGACATGTATTTCATTTTCCATCACATACATAAGATTAATGTGTTTGCCCATAGAAACAATAGTGGTTTAGTAAAGTTTAGATATTGACCATCAATCATGTGTTATTGTTAATAAGATGTTGAATTTTTAATTTTAATTAATAAAGTATAATTTTTAATCAAGTTCACTAAAAAAAAATAAAAAGTTAAGATTAGATTTATACGGATAAAAATGAATGATAAGCATAGAGTTAAAATACAAAAAAAAAATATAAATTTACAAATTTATTTAGATAAATTTATATATTTTATTACATTTAAATTGACTCTTAAACCTTAAATTTCTCAATTAGACCCTTTTTATTAACTTACTAATGAGCTATTGAGCCCTTTTTTTTTGGTTAACATCAAATTAAAAAAAAAAGGACTTGAGATTTTTTTTCCCGACATCCTACGACGATGCTTAATTCTTAGCATAAGATATGGAACGCCAGCAAAGTCAAAAAGGAAAAGGACTTAGAAAAGTTAAAACCCAAAGGCCGACAAAAGCCGAAGGAGCAAGCAACGACTAAGGGAGACGCAAAAATTGGATGAGATGACCAAGAAAATGATGTCGATGTGGACCATCAATTTAAGTGCTTAGCTTAACCTTTTGAGAGAGGTTCATTATAAACACATAGACTATCCCACACTGAAACATGGTCGCCACCATTGTAGCGTCCTGGGCTACTTCTCTTTTAGCTTCATCTTTTTCTCACTCTTATCATTCTACTTCTTCCTTGTTTTTCACGAAGTTACGATCTTCATCTGGTCTCAGATTTTCTCTTGCGGTTGCTCCTTTGTGTTCTCGAAGAGCCAAGTTCATGGCACACACTCTTGCTCGCGCCACCCTTGGCCTTACTCAGCCAGCCAACATCGAACACCCCAAGGTGAGCCTTTTATTTTCTTTGTTGGGTTGGAGCAAAATTCTCTTTTGATCGACTTTTTTAGGTTGAAAATTTTTGACCTTTTGCGGATGGGGGTATTTATCGTTCTCAAAAAAAGTGAACTTTTTGTTAATTGTTTGGTGATAATTTTGTTTTTGAAAGACTTGACCTTTAATTGCCGATCGATTCTTTAATGGGGTTTTTAAAAGTTGATATTTTGATGTGTATGTCATTGGATTGACGAGTATGGGCTAAATTCTGAATTAATGGAGTAAAGATTAACTAAAACCTTGACTAAAACCTTGTTAGTTTTTTATATATATATGATAAGATCATCTTAGTCAGATCCTTGGATTCTCTTTTGGTCTTAATATGTGAAGGCTTTTTTTTTATTGTATGTATGTGTTTATTTTGGCGAAATACCAAGAAAAGATACTAAAATGGCTGTTGTCTTTTTGTGAAAAATGCTGGAAAGATCTCTTTTGCTGCAAAAGAGATCGACGTGGGAGAATGGAAAGGGGACATACTTGCAGTTGGGGTCACTGAGAAAGACATGACCAAGGATGAAAACTCCAAGTTTCAAAACTCGATTTTGAAAAAATTAGATGGCCTGTTGGGTGGTCTCTTAGCTGAGGCCACTTCTGAGGAGGATTTCACGGGGAAAGCTGGCCAGTCAACAGTTCTTAGACTTCCCGGCCTTGGCTCCAAAAGGGTTGGTTTGATTGGTCTTGGACAGTCAGCTTCATCTCCAGCTGCTTTTCGTGGGCTTGGTGAGGCTGTTGCTGCAACGGCAAGGGCTGCTCAAGCCAGTAGTGTGGCTGTCGTCCTTGCCTCTTCAGAAGGCCTCTCCAATGAGTCAAAGGTCAATACTGCTTCGGCAATAACATCTGGTAATGGTCTTATGATTTCTTAGTTTCATGATAAATGAACTTATTACAAAGATTCAAGTGGATATTAGTTGAATGGTTTGCAAATTCTGATAGGGACGGTGCTGGGAATATATGAAGATAATAGATACAAATCGGAGTCAAAGAAACCACAGCTTAAATCTGTGGATATTCTTGGTCTTGGAATTGGTCCAGAGTTGGAGAAGAAGCTCAACTATGCTGAAAATGTTTCTTCTGCTATAATATTTGGAAGAGAGCTTGTGAATTCACCAGCCAATGTACTTACCCCTGGTTCGTATAAGCATTATTCTTGCCTTTTGGTAATAATCCTTTCTTTTTGCAGTTAATTGTAAGGATGACTTTTTTTTAATTGTATGCATGACGGTATAATTAGAAAGCTGCATTTCTAACTTGACAGTGAGGATATCATTTTGATGGGGCATGGGGCTATAATTGGTTTTGTTCAAGACAGATGAGAATTCTTAACTTTTGATCTAATTTGTCTTTTTATGCTGCAGTTGTGCTAGCAGAAGAGGCTTCAAAGATTGCTTCCTTGTACAGTGATGTTCTATCTGCAAACATCTTGACTGCTGAGCAGTGCAAGGAGTTGAAGATGGGATCTTATCTGGGAGTTGCTGCAGCGTCTTCCAATCCCCCTCGTTTCATCCATTTGTGCTACAAACCCCCAAGTGGACCTATTAAAGCCAAGTTAGCATTAGTTGGAAAAGGATTGACTTTTGACAGGTAATCTCATATATACTTAGATATATTCTAGCGGGAACGTATTTTATGATTCAGTTACTGTCGGAAATAAAACATGGAGAGGGAATGAGGAATGAGATGCCTGCATATTTGTTTTGAAGTTTATGGTGCGATACTATGAATAAATAGATCGGCCCTCCACTAAGTCATTGTTTATGTGCGCATCTCAAGTATTACTGGTAAACATGGGATTTCATTTTCCTTTTCCTACTTCTTGACATGTGCTATATGCAGTCTATTACGTGAATGATTTGACAAAAATTTCTTCCTAATGCTGTTGGGATCTATTTGACATGAGTGGTTGGAATATGTCCCTTGTTCTTGTTTATTCCAGTGGTGTATTTATAGGTTCTGAATACTTGTCTTAAATGTTCTTAGTGGTGGCTACAATATCAAGACTGGACCTGGTTGCTCAATTGAGATCATGAAAATTGACATGGGAGGTTCTGCCGCAGTTCTTGGTTCAGCAAAAGCCCTTGGACAAATCAAACCTCCTGGAGTAGAGGTGAAGTCATTTGGTTGTTCTCATTTTTCTATTGTTGCTCTCCACCACTCTCTCTGTATACTTTTCAAAATTATAAAGGGTTGGGGAAATGATGCATATTCTTTTCTTATTGTGTTTATCTGTTCTTTCATTTTCATTTGCTTTTCCAATTTCTGCTTTGAATCTAGCTTGTCACTTATTAAATTGTCCTAATATGCAGGTTCATTTTATTGTTGCATCTTGTGAAAACATGATAAGTGGAACGGGCATGAGACCTGGAGATATTGTCACAGCTTCAAATGGAAAGACAATTGAGGTATAGTTTGTTTGATTTTAGAAAAAAAAAAAAAAAGAAAAGGACAATTGAGGTGTATGTGAACTATGTGGTACCTTGACATTTATAACTGGGTTAATTTTGACTTTCTTCATTGTCTTTAATAAATAACTTGTTGCTCACAATGCCGATTGCAGGTTAATAACACTGATGCAGAAGGCAGGCTTACACTTGCAGATGCTCTGGTTTATGCTTGCAACCAAGGTGTTGAGAAGGTAAAGCCAAGCACTGCAAATCTTGAATTTGTAATGACAGTTGTAAAACTGATATTGTGGATTGCTTGTATTGTATAGATATCAGAATAACCTTTTTAAGACTATGTTCACTTATTTGCAGATAGTTGACCTGGCAACACTAACTGGGGCTTGTATTGTTGCTCTTGGACCCTCAATTGCAGGTACATGCATAACATATGAATTCTAGAATTCTTGGAAAATAGTGTTTCGAACGTATCTTTTGTTAGATTTGGAAGAAAGTTTTGGGAACTTAATTTTTTGTTACTTTCTGGATGAAAATTTTTAAAGGAGAAACAAGAGGATATCAGAATGTTTTACACACATAATCATACACATTTGGTGGGGGTCATGAATGAAGTTCTGCATTTGCCTTTTCAACTTTCAAATTTAAAACTTTAGTAGTAGTAATTACGAACAAGTTTCCAGTATTGAAGGTCCTTTCCTGATTCATGGTCAGTTCAGAAGGCCATTGCATTCATCATTTCATTGGTTGTTACTCAAGCGAAAGCAAAGAGGGCATGTATGCTCTATCTCACCGCTGTCAATTGATTGGTATCCTTTTTCCTTTGTAGGCGTGTTCACACCCAGTGATGATCTAGCAAAGGAGGTATTTGAAGCTTCAGAGGTCAGTGGTGAGAAATTTTGGAGGATGCCACTGGAGGAAAGCTATTGGGAGTCGATGAAATCAGGAGTTGCTGATATGGTAAATACCGGTGCTCGTACAGGTGGTGCTATCACTGCAGCTCTGTTCTTGAAACAGGTATGTGATTTCTTTTTTCTTTTGTCTTTTCGCGGTCTATATTCTACACACACATATATTCCAATCTCCATGAATGAACTTGTCGAATTACCAACAAGTGGTTGGTTCAATCGGTTAAGATTCGTCTTTCTCGACGAAAAAGTATTGGGTTCGAGTCTTATTAGTGATCACTTGTTGGGATCATCTTGAATGTATGACATGCAGTTACTTGTCTGAGATTGTCAGGTATTGCACATTTTATTCGGACCTGGAGGACTAAGTAGTTTATTTACTCTCAAATTTTTCTTACCAAAAAAAAAAAACTTGTCGAATTTGATTGTGGAACGATGCTTTTGCAGTTTGTTGATGAGAAAGTACAGTGGATGCACATTGACATGGCTGGCCCCGTCTGGAATGATAAGAAGCATGTGGCAACAGGATTTGGCATCTCAACTTTGGTGGAATGGGTTCTGAAAAACTCTTCTTAAATAAAAGCTTGGAGCATGCTGTATTGACTACTATTAGAATGAAGGGAAAACCTTTCTGAGGTTGTTGGGTTCTGTGAGATCCACTTCATGAATAAAGCTTGTTTGTGATGAAAAGGAAGGAGACGGAGTGAGAATGTGGGATGATGTTTTTTTTTTCTTTTTTTTTAAGGTTGTTTCAGTAAAGTTAGAACTACATGCTGTCTTGATGGAAAAAACCTTAAATCTAGCTTCATCTGTAGCCTGGGTGCTTATAGTGTTTGGTGGAGTGAAGAACTTGGATAAACATAGGCCCAAAAAAGTGGAAATAAGAGGACAAGACATGCTCTGTTCACACACCAGAAAGTACTCTAATTAGAAAATTATGTCTCGTCCTCTCTATCAAAGGGTTTGTGTAATTTAAGAAAGTTCGACAATTTCTTACTCAATTTCGTAATATTTTAGGTGCTAGTATGTAGTCTATTATTAAAACTAAAACTTGTTTTAGGTGCGATTTGATTGGACCCAAAAGCTGAAAAGCCACCAAAGATTGAAAAAACCCAAAACCTAAACTTTCACGCAATCCAAAACTTGAAAAAAAAAAACCTAAAAGCAAAACTTTTTTGGAGAGAGTGCCAAAGCCCGGTTTTGCTTTCAATTTTTTGGACAAGTAAGGAAAAAACTTCCTTTGCACTAACACCACCAAGTCGCAGTAAGACTTGGAAGTATTGCTGTCTTCGTTCAGACATAATTGAGTTTCTCAGCTTTTGTCTTTCTCTCAAACATTTCAACCATCAGGTCTTTTTTCTTTGAACCGCTAAAATTATCACTCTAAATACAAGTAAACTCACAAGTATGGAATATACCCAATCTTTTTCGGGCTCTTTTCTGACTGTGGGTTTTGTTATTTGATCAATGATTATGTAGTTTTTGAAGATAACAACAGATTGAAAGAGAGAAAGAATAGAGTCTTTCTTGTTTGTTGAATTAAAAAATGAGCGTGTCTTTGACTGTAATGACGTTTAATCTGCATGAAGATCAATCAGAAGACAGCCCAAATTCGTGGGAGAAAAGGAGGGATTTGTGCATAAGTGTTATCACTAGTTACTCCCCTATCATTCTTTGTACTCAGCAAGGTATTCCTCTCATTAAGTTTTCATTTTTTTTTCTCTTGTTTTGGATGATCTAGGTATTTCCTGATTTGAGTTTTGGATGCTGATTTTTGTTCGTTGAGGAGGTGCTTAGAGTTTTGCTGTTAAAATTGATTGGTTGGTGAATAGAAACTTTGCTGAATGTAAAAATGTTGTTTTTGAGGAAGAAGGGTTTATATTTTGGAGATTGCTTCAAGCTGGTTTAAGCAATTTGGGGTCGTGCATTTCTTTGCTTAATATGCTTGATCTGGGTTTATTTTATTGGTTTTTCTTTAGTTTCTGTTTTTTTTTAATTGTTATTCTTTTTTTTTTTTTTTGAATTCGCATTCAGGCATAAAATCTCAACTGGATTATCTTCAGCAGGGATTGCCAGGTAATATTGTCTAATGATCATCATTCAACGTTCGAACTTTTAACCTAATGTTGAGCACTATAGTTTATAGGTCATACACTAATACCTAACTAGGAAGGATTAACATTTTGACATAACTTTAGTACTTGATAAATGTGGATGATGAGAAGGATGTACCATTACATATTAACTTTAGTACTTGATGCCATAGCATGAAAAAATTTAAGATAATTTGATTTGCATTATTTAGGAGTGGAAGTGCTGGGAATCATTAGTGCCGGATAGATAAATTTACTTGTAATTTAGATAATATATTGTTGTTGCTTCTGTAAGGGGTGTAAATATATTGTATTGAAGCAGGGTTGAGTTCAATCTTTCCACTTACTGATTGGAGATTAACAGAAACAGATTCTTATCTGATATTTTAATATCAAGCCTAGATGGTTGGACTGAGTTGCATGTTTGAGTAGGCGTATCCAAAACGAAGCATTTGAGGATGTGGCTCATTTAGAGAAGTTTAAAGTAAGACACCTGAGGGGAAAAACACAGCTAACATATCATGTAAAGGAATGAAGCATCAGTCATATTTTGATGGGTAAAATATGGAATGCAGGGTGCCCCCAGACTGAATTGGGTTAATTCTGTAAATTTCCTTTTCTTTTCCCTTCCTTTTTCTAGGGACAAAGGCCTAGGTCAGTGTTCAGTAACTTCATTAAATATTTATCAAATGTGAAATATAACCACAGAAAAATTGGAACGAGGGAAGTATGTTTAAGAATAGACACTCTGATGAGTATGACAGCTTGAAAGGAACCTGAGGAATGTCTAACCACCTTCGTAAATGATATAGAAGTAGTGCAACAGTAAAGAGTTGTGTGGAAAATATGTAAATTCGACTAATTTCATTTTATTTTTGTGCATACAAAATAGAAAAGCCAAATATTCTTTCTCATCTTGGTGTTGTTAGATTGTTTGGCCAATGGTGAAATGATAAAATATTTGCCAGTAATTTTGTCTCAAACTCTTTATCTGTTTTGTATTTGAATTTGGCAGAATGGAATATGATTATCTTATCTTTCAGTGTCGTGTGAATGTCCTCATTCTCATACTAAACATTGATGGTTTTGTTTTTCGACATACTCTAGGTTATGATCAGTTTGGAATATCGAGAAAAGGGCCCCAGGACACTTCAGATGAACATTGCACAATCTTCTATGACAAGGAGAAGGTATCTTAGTAGTTTGTTGATATCTATGATCAGGTATTCTGGTATACAGCGTGTTAACATTCTTTTCATTTTAATTGAAGGTAGAGCTGATTGAAGGTGGAACTTTTTGGTTGTCTGATTCACCTTCTGTCCCTGGGAGCACAGCATGGGGTTCTGTAGTTCCATGTATTGCAACTTGGGCTATATCCTTCTTTATTTAGCTTACTGTTTTAATCTTCCTTTATATGAAGTTCCAGTTGCTGTTACCACTTGTATTCATAGAAAACCATTGTGTTCGTTTGTTTCCTTAACATGATGCCCACACATTCCAACTTAAAGGAGTTGAGCCTCCAGGATTATCATTTCAGGTAGTAAACACTAACATGGATGAGTTCAGTCCTCGTGCTCGTAGACGAAGTGCTTTGCTTACATGGCAACATATTGCATCCTTACCACCTAGCTTACCGGTTGTGTACTGTGGAGGATTTAACACACAGAAGGAATCCACAACCGGGCGTTTTCTTCTCGGGAGATCAAGGTATTTTGTTTGGTACAAAAACCCGTTAGCTGTTTCATAACATATATGTACCTTCAAAGAAACAAAGGGATTCCCCTATTCCATTTATTTTCTTTTGTGTCAAAGTAAACCCAAATGTTGCTTCCGTTAGGTTTATTACAATATAATATCAGCAATTAATCTTCTTCCTGATGTGGGGCTGACTTCCTTTGCTGCCATTCTGTTTTTATTATATATTTGCAGAGAGCATGGTATGGTGGGAGACATGAGGGATGTGTGGCCTAATGCCCGGGTGAGGAAAAATGTTTCCCTGATACGCACTTATCATGGCTTCAAAGGTATTCTTCTTACTCCAACTGCTGCTTTGGTAGTGAGGTGTGATGACGCTAGAACTTAATGATGACTTCGTGTCTTCAGGTAACAAGCAGGGAGCTCTTGAATTCCTTAAGTTGATTTTTAGAGCACTCTGCCTCTGTTGGGACCGCCAAACTCAGGATCTACACATAGACTGGATTCTTTTCAGGGGGAGATCTCTGATACCTGTTTTATGCGAAGTGGTCAATGATAACATGGATGGTTATTACCCATCCTCACACTATCCTATATTTGCTAAGTTTCTGCTTCCACGTACTGTGAGATTGATAGAACCACCTACACGGTCACAAGAGGAAAACTAGAATGCTATTTGTTTATAAGCTACACTGTTTTCTTTTTTCTTCTTTGAAGCTTGCCATATTGTCTTTGCATATGGGAACATAGGTCTGTCTTAATCATGAATCCTTTGTGGCTCTACAAGCATTTTCAGTTGTTGAGATTGTCTTCTCAGTTCTCATGGCCAGAAGGGAAGAGGGGAAGAAGGCATTTCGAAATTGATTCCAGCTTGTTTGTTTTCAGGTTAATTGGTCCAGGGAATGGACCAAAAAGGCAGGGGAAAGGGGGCATATGTGGAAAAAGAATGCCCAATTGTTTGACTAAGGTGAATATTTGCTTGTTTTCAGAAATTTCATTCTTTTGGTTCTGGAAATGACCTCCTGTTCTAGGTTGATGAACCTTAAAGTTCAAAAACCTACCCTTTTTCACCTTCCAAAAACTTTGTTGCTTGTCTGAATGTGGGTTCCATCCTATCATCTTAACAATCGGCATGCAGCTTATGCCACAATGTTTAGATCGCCCGGAAATTTTACCAAGTATATTTCAGTTAAAAAGAGTATAAGAATCTGTTACTTAAAACTTTCTCCAGTGATTGAGGGTGAAAGCCCCATTTATACTGATGGTAACAGATGCAACTGACAATTGTCTTCAAAGAGGCTCTTTTATCCTATTGGTGGATGCCTCACTGACCAAGCTACTTTGATTAATGAATTTAAGGGTAATAAGTTTTTAAGTTAATGAATTTAGCATGGTAAACTTTGGGACAATAAGACTGAAGATTTCATGTTGGGAAAGGGAGATTTTGCCTTTGACTAAAATGGTTTACTTTTATGACGGTAAGGTAAACAACGAGATAGATCCAACATCATTAAGCAAACTTCCAAATCATACCTAATCTGAAGTTTGATAAATGACAAAACTTAAACAAATACAAGTACCCACATGATTTCATCAAGGTTGGTGAATAATGACCAACTTTTTTGACAGTCGTTAAGTAAACAATGAGGTAGATCCATCCTCTTCATGTCTTTGAGGTTGATGAACTTAAGATTTAATATATTAATGACAGAAACATTTACTAATAATTATAACATAATGATGATATTATTGTTTGGTGAGGAAAGAAAGTCAAGATCATGGCTAGCTTTTGCGCAGGGATTCAAACAGCAGGTGTGGAACCCCTTGTAAAGCATTCATTATATGTATTAAATTCAATTATTATGGGGCCAAAAAGAGTATCAGCATCATACACGTTTTAGAGGTCTAACAATTTTCCTTTTCTGGGAAAATTTGATGGAAATTTATTCATGTTTTTAGACAAAGATTGACAATGAGACAAGACACAAACTCAAAACACATGTAAACCATATGGCCCCCTCATTTCATTTTCTGTTTCTTGTCAAAGCTTTGCCTTTCCCTTTCCTCGTAAATGAAATATGATGGTGTAAAATTGAAGAAGCTCTTGACCCCCAAAAAAGCGTAAAATTTACCGTAATGTCCAAGGAGAGTCACCGTCAATGTCACCTGATCAAAATCAGGACCGTTCATCACAATCAGAGAATTTAAATCCAACGGTTCGTGCCTAGGAGGGGTCCTTCTATAAAAGATAGATTTCTCTCCCTAGCCTTCCTCTCGTTCTTCCCAACAAACGACCCTTTGCCCTCTCTCCCTCTTCGTTTCTTTCCTCACAAACAAGAAAATTCAACTCAACAACGTCAATAACAAAGCAAAGCAGGCTCTTTTCTTTGTTTTTTTAGTTCAGTTTTCAATACAGGGAAAGTGGGTATCCAGGAATTCCGATCTAGATACGGGCAAAACCCATGGCGGGTCTGAGGTTTCACGTCGGATCGATCTTCTCCTTGTTTGCTTTCTTCTTCGTTGGTGCTAATTGCTTCTACCTCCCTGGTGTTGCCCCTGAAGATTTTCAAAAGGTCAGTTTCCTCACATGCATATATGCACGCATGCATGAATGTTATGTATGCATCATCATCATCATCACGTAATTTGGATCTTTGGGTTGACTTGGATTTTCTATTCTGTTATTGAGTTTTATTCAGATCTGCCTTTTATGATCTCTAAGACCGCCATTTTAGTTTAATGAATTTGTATTTGATGATTCCATGAAAGTTATCAAAGTTTCAAGTTTGTATTTTCTGTAGTTTAAAGCTGCCCAACTTATTATCAATAAGACAAGTTCCAATGGTCGGTTTGGCTTAAAACTTGAAGAACATTTATGAAAATTTGACATTGATTAAAGCTTACTGAGTCTTTCATGCTCAATAATTAACCGCGAGGGTCTTTGATCCAATGGAACTGACCGTTTAATGTAGTTTTATTCAATGTTCTTTTTTCTCCATTTATGCAGGGGGATCCATTGTTGGTGAAAGTGAATAAGCTGACTTCAACTAAAACACAGCTTCCTTATTCCTATTATTCTTTACCCTATTGTCAGCCTGAACGCATACTTGACAGTGCAGAGAATCTTGGGGAAGTCCTTCGTGGTGATCGAATTGAAAACTCTCCTTATGTGGTGAGTTTGGACTCCAAGATCATTTCTTTATGTCTCTTGACCATATTTTAGTTTTCAGTGATTGACAGGATTATTTATTTGCAGTTTAAAATGAGAGAACCACAAATGTGCAATGTTGTATGTCGTAAAATTCTTGATAAGAAAACTGCAAAGGCATTCAAGGAGAAGATCGATGATGAGTATCGGGTTAACATGTGAGGCTCTCACTCAAGAAATCTTAATTACGGTATTCCATTTCTTCTTTGAGTAGCAACTGATATTTATGATGTGTTTGTTACAGGATTTTGGATAACCTTCCATTGGTTGTTCCCATAAGAAGGCCCGATCAAGAAAATGCCGTAGTGTATCAGCATGGATTTCATGTTGGTCTCAGAGGACAGTATGCCGGGGTAAGTGCTAGATTGATCGGCTCTTTTTAGAATAATTTTTAATTGATGCCATGTACTGATGCAAGCAATACTGGCTTTTCTGTTTGTACATGCAGAGCAAGGAAGAAAAACATTTTATACACAATCACTTGACATTTACAGTCAAATATCACAAGGATCCAGTGGCAAATTCTGCAAGGATTGTTGGATTTGAGGTCAAACCATTCAGGTTAAAATTTTTTATTCTTTATGCTAGAGGCATATCTGTTACCTTTAATTTCTCTTAGGAATAGTGTTTATTTCTATATTTCTTAGCAAATCATTTTGATGAATGCAGTGTTAAGCATGAATATGAGGGTGAGTGGAATGAGAAGACCCGTCTGACAACCTGTGATCCCCATGCAAAACGAGCAGTTACTAGTTCTGAATCTCCTCAAGAGGTTGACGAAAATAAGGAGATCATATTTACATATGATGTGGAGTTCCAGGTCACCTCTTTGTAAACTGAGAATGCATGCTGCTTGTTACAGTTTGGCTAGTCTGTCTGATGTTATTTCATTCTAATCAACTTGCACCTTATTGTCGAATTGCAGGAAAGTGATATAAAGTGGGCATCCCGCTGGGATTCCTATCTTCTGATGGCTGATGATCAGATCCATTGGTTCTCAATTGTTAATTCTTTGATGATTGTTCTTTTCCTCTCCGGGATGGTGGCCATGATCATGCTGCGAACTCTTTATCGGGATATCTCTAAGTACAACCAACTTGAAACCCAAGAAGAAGCCCAAGAGGAGACAGGGTGGAAACTGGTCCATGGGGATGTTTTTAGGCCTCCAACAAACTCTGAATTACTCTGTGTGTATGTGGGGACAGGGGTTCAGTTTTTTGGTATGATTCTTGTTACTATGATCTTTGCTCTCCTTGGCTTCCTGTCCCCCTCAAATAGAGGTGGGCTAATGACAGCTATGCTTCTTCTATGGGTCTTCATGGGCCTGTTCGCTGGATACTCCTCAGCTCGTCTCTATAAGATGTTCAAAGGAACAGAATGGAAGAAAATTACACTCAAAACGGCTTTCATGTTCCCTGCAACTGTCTTTTCCATTTTCTTTGTCTTGAATACTCTAATATGGGGCCAGAAATCCTCTGGGGCAGTGCCATTTGGAACCATGTTTGCTCTGGTATTCTTATGGTTTGGCATCTCAGTCCCGCTTGTTTTTGTGGGTAGTTATATTGGTTTTAAAAAGCCAACAATTGAGGATCCAGTGAAAACAAATAAGATCCCAAGGCAAATTCCAGAACAGGCTTGGTACATGAACCCGTCCTTCTCCATCCTAATTGGTGGCGTACTTCCATTTGGGGCTGTTTTCATTGAGCTGTTTTTCATCCTCACTTCAATATGGTTGCATCAGTTTTATTACATATTTGGCTTCCTCTTCATTGTCTTTGTCATTCTTATTGTCACTTGTGCTGAGATCACAGTTGTTCTCTGCTACTTCCAGCTGTGCAGTGAGGATTACCTATGGTGGTGGAGGTCATACTTGACTTCGGGCTCTTCAGCACTTTACCTATTCCTCTATGCTGCCTTCTATTTCTTCACAAAGCTTGAGATCACAAAGCCAGTATCAGGAGTTTTGTACTTTGGGTACATGTCGATTGTATCTTACGCATTCTTCGTGCTTACTGGTACAATTGGTTTCTATGCTTGCTTCTGGTTCACAAGGCTCATCTACTCATCAGTGAAGATTGATTGATCTGTTATTGCAACTTGAGGAAAATTGCCAATAAGTTTCATCATGAGGATGCTCAAATCTATCCCAAATAGAATCAGAAATGCGGGACATCCTTGCTCGTGGAGTTACCATTTGGGTTCAGTTTTGAATCTTGGATCCCAGAAATTGTTAAATTTTTTTAGCCTTCTTGATACAGGTTCTTTTGCTGTTACTAGTTAATTTTTACTTGTTCATTGGTTCCATTACTGTTTTGTATGAGATCCTTGAGAGATTGTCAAGTAATCTATTCTCAATGCCTATTCTAAAAATCGAGTTCTTTTGTTCATACACTTAATATCCTGCAATTCTGTCAAGAAAGAATTCATAATCTGTGTTCATAAAGGAAAATAAAAAAAATATGAATTCATATCTAAACTCTGTATGCTGGACCTTGTAAGCAATTATTCTACTCGTTGGCATTGATTCAGCCGTGTAAACTATTATTCTACTGGTTGGCATTGATTAGTTGCGGAAGCCTAGAGCTTTGTTTGGTCGATGCATTCAAGGATTTAGACAAAACCCATGGCAGAAGTAGACAAGATGGATTGCGATTTCCTTGTATTCAACCAATTGGTAATCATTCTCAGCTGGACCAAAAAAGAGCATGAAATGATACATTCTTTTTCTATGGATAGAGACAATATAGAATGAAAATGGCGAAATTGGACATCTTTCTCGCGCCAAATGGGCTGCTAAAAAGAATGTATCAGTTTGACAAGGTCGATTATTGAATTAACCACTCCAAAACTTATCGGTAAATTAATCATGCATAAATTCAAGTGAATGAAGCGATGATACAAACTAATTGGAACATCAAGGCGTAGAACACATGGGAAATTAAGGAAATGCAGAACTAGAACAGAAAAAAAGGGAGCAATTTCGTGTTCAGGATGTGTTAAGTGCTGGAATCAGGCAGTTGCATTAATGTAATTGTGTGGAACTGCTTCAGTGAGAGTGGATTCTGAGTTGACAGCTCCTGAGAAACTTGTTGCATACTTGGCTGAGATTGTGGAATGGCATGTAAACATAGAGATGCTAATTTTACAATTGAGACCACTTTTGCTGTGGGTGACGCTGGTCTAACAGATCTTCCAGTCGTAAGCAGCAAGGTGAAGGAGAGGAACAAGATCCGGAATGATGAAGGTGATTGCCTAAAAAAAATACCATAGCTCAAGATTGCAAGGGCAAGTATTGATTGCACTCGAAAATCGTTGTACTTGGAAACTGCCCACCTCCTTTACTTTTCACATTCCATCGTCGATTTCAGGCCACGCCATGTTTGGTGGGACTGAAGCCAAAGTCCACATTGACCGGAAGCTGTCAGGTGTCAGTTGTAAAGACTGTAACATGCAAAACCATTAATTCCTTGATACGTTATCATTAATTTAAAATTTCTTTTCCTGGCAATTTCATCAAGAAACAGAACAGCCTAATTGATCCCAAAGCAATGGCTAGAAAATTCAACGCCCTTCAAGACCTTGCAGTCTGGGTTGATACTTCATTTTGCCAGACAAGCATTTTCTATGCCATGGTACAGTCAGAGTCAATTACC